AGGGTCGAACAAATCCAAACCTTATTACTGGAAATTATTGTAATTAGTAAAAATAGTAGATAAACTCACTATCCAAAAGCTTTTAAAATTTAATTTTACAAATACAATATAAAAACTTATCCGCTCTTAAAACATCTTAACAAACGCACAAGTTTATCGGTTATAAGTTGCTTAACGATGGTGTCTGCAAATGATTATTTAAAATACGAAGTTAGTGATTGGAAGTTAAATTAGTTTTAAGTGCTTACTTTTAAAAGTTGGGGGTGTTTGCAAATATTCCGAAAAATAAACTTAAATAGAAAAAGCATGGTTATAGATACTCTTAAAAAAATAGCTTAAAGTAACTTATTTTAAGAGAAGCAAAAGCAAAAATTAATTTTGCAAACATTTGAAAACAGATTATGTGCAAAAAGAAGCTAAAAAAAACTTATAATCACTTTCAACGAACTTTTGCAAACACCACCAACATCCTATAAATTTCTAAACATTGTTATAACTCAAGTAAGATTTGGTGACTAGTTACCTCAAAAAAAATAAAAGAAAAGAATAAAAGATTTCGCAACTAGTTGTTATTCCAATCACTATACAGCTTTATAGATGTCGTTAGCGATTTATTCCCTAAAATAATTAGATAGAAGAACTTAGAATAATCGTATATTTCCTTATCGGTAATCAGATTATTTCAACTAATTTAATAATTTAATTCGAGTTTTTTTTTTTTTTTTTTTTTTTTTTTTTTTGTCTGTGAGCGGTGATCATCGATAGTGGCCTGTGATCCACCACTTCATTATTTGCAACTTTATGAATGTAATGTGATAAATTTGTCCACTAACTTCGTCCACTTTCTTCCTTGTACCAAAATTTCGATTTTTGGTCACGTTCGGTATTATTAAGTTATTAATTTATTACTGCTGTTTAAAAAGTTAATTTTGATAAGATAATGATAGTGGGCCCAAGCCCAAAACGATGGACCAAAATCAAGGCCTGCGTTGATTCAAGTTGAAAGGCCCACACCGACAAATAATTATTTTTTGACAAAATACAAGTTTTCACCCCTCAAGTTTGCACTAATTACACATTTAGTCCCCCATGTTCACAAAAACACATTTGGCCCCTTAATTTCTTTTTTGAAATTCAACACTTTTAGTCATTTTCGTTAGTGCTAACGGAATCAAGCATGTGCTCATAACTACCTTACGTGACGGAGTAACGGTAAATCGACAAAAATGGCCAAAAATGTTTAATTATTAAAACATGAGGGACCAAATGTGTTTTTTTGTAAACATGTGAGACCAAATGTGAAATTAGTATAAATTTAAGGGATGCAAACTGTAATTTTCCCAATCATTGTCAACTTAATATTCTCATTAAAAAAAATTAGCGGGACTAAAATCCCGTTATATGTCACTTTAATTTTCTTAATAAATTATAAGATTTATAAAAAAATAATATAATGAGTAGATAACTTGGCCAAAATCGTATGGTCCTATTCTACGTAATTATACAATGAATTATTAAGTGGAGATAAAAGACACATCTGGAAATACTAGATTGGCTAGCATTCATTGTCAACTAGATTACGCAGATCTTTGGATATAGAGCTTTGGACTTATTGATCTTCCGTTTAGAGCACGTTTATCTTTTTCCATACAAAACTCGTGACCAACTTTATATTACAAAATGATAACATAATTGAATCATATTTTAGTGTATAGTAAAGATTGATACCGGCTCGATTGTCCAGAAGCCCAAATAATAAGGTTCCTATAACAAAATGTTCATAACGCATCCTAAGCTCATTCATTCCAAACTTGCACATTAATATTTCCATAAACTCAAGTGGGGTAGACAGATAATTGATGTGACTATGTTCGGATGTGTCAGAGAAAAGCGGAAAACCTGTAAAGTAACATTGATCGGGAAAGCAACTCACTACTGAAGCAACAATACATGTGAACTCGTCTCATTGAACTGACTCGCAACGCAAGACACAAGATTGCTCACCCTCAATTGACGATTACATCCCGTGGTAATCTGACCAGACAGGATGAGGGACCCACCACCCTATCTCTACGACATGTATAAATACATGCTTGAGAGTTGAGACACAAGAGATAGATAACTCTCTATGATATTTCATATACGCACTTATTCTCACTATACACATATATCATTTTCTCCACGACTGCGACTGACTCGCCGTCGAAGTACTAACGTTGGAACACCATTAAACGTCACTCCTTTTTGCAGATTTCTTGAGACGCGTGGGCTCCCTCTCGTTTAGGTTTTCTCTACTCTAGGCCCATGTCATACCTATTTAATTTTATTATTTCGTGATTGGGCCATTTAAGCCTTGTCACAAATGATCTAAAAGTGATTTACAAAAATTATAGTAACTTGGAATTTTCTTTTATTGACAAGAGAACTCACAACCACTCTCGTTGTATTGTATACATCAAATTGTTTGATTTAATGTGTAGAAACTTAAAGTACAAGTACAAGAGATCTAATTAAACTACCAAACAAAAATGCCCAACTGAAATCATCTCTTAGTTTCCTAATAAATAAATAAATAAAATAAAATAAATAATAATCTCATACTTATATGGGCTACGGGCTGACAAATTTACTTAATAACTAATGGGCCTCAATAAAATATCTTGTCAAAAGTTTGAAATCTAGAACTGTTAATTCTTAACCCATATTGTGCTTAGAGGTGAAGCCCAAGCTACAACTTTACATCTCGCTGCTGTTGCCCAAATCAAAATAAATAAATAAATAAACTTAATTATTCAGAAAATATTATTATGGTAACGCATAAATAAACTTGTTTTTTAATTCAAAACATTAAAAGAAGAGCCGAGTTCCATAAATAAACTAGTAGAATAACTATTTAACTCAGTGCGCTCTTACACTTACTAATTATTAATTAGTCCTGAAATAATAAATATTTAAATAGAGTTAATCAGGCAGTTAAGTTTCACAGTTTGAACCAAACAAAAAACGCCACGTCATCAGAGCACCGTTGTGTAAGATACCCGCACCCACAGAGGATAGCTACCCATCGGTTCAGGAGGATTAATAAATGTAAATGTAATATATGTGTGTTTTAAAAGGACAAGAGCTGCATTGAAATAGGGAGGAGTGAGAGAGGGGAGTGTTATCACAAGGAAACCCATCGGAAACCAAAGCTTCAATCTCTCTCTTCCGATTTCTTCAATGTCTTCTTTAGTCAACACCGTATACTCCGTAAGACTATCTTCCAGCGCCGAAGCATCTTGCCCGCCGCGAAATCGGCGGCTCGCCGCGAAGCCGAGCTGTATTTCTCTCAACAGTAAGCGTACATTTCAGTAACCTGTATTTTTTTTTAATTTTATATTTGCTGTAATTAATTTCATGCGTTGCGTTGTGTTATAGGGAGGAGACTTGTAGTAAGAGCTACTGAGACTGATACGAACGAAGGTATTATTGCTGGGGTTTAATTTTTGGGTAATTTTTAGCTATCTGGAATAATTAATTTGAATGATTGAAGTGGGTTTGCATATGTGATTTGTTTTTTTTTTGTTTTTTTTTTTCAAATTGGGGTTTGAGCGATTTAATTTGGTTGATGTGTGGCAGTTGGAGCAAAGGCACCGGATAATGCGCCGGCCCAGAGTGGTTCGAGCTTTAATCAGATTCTCGGTATCAAAGGAGCCAAACAAGAAACTGTGAGTTTATTAATTATCACTACATTAATTAATTTAACTTGATTTTTGGGTATTCGAGGCAAGGCTTCGAGATCGGACGAAACTGAATCCCTGCTATGTGAATGCACAATTCACCACAGTTAGTTGTTTATAATTGCTATTGTACGTGTTTAGGGACTAACGATCTTGCTTAAATAGATTGCTGAAATAATTCGTTTTAACATTATCGCTATCAACTTAAACCTAATTTTCGTCCATTTTAGTGTGTGTATAATGTCGAGAAACGATTGAAGGAAATAAAAACGAGAGAAATAAGTTTTAATATCAAGTAATGATGAATCGTAAGAAGTTAGGTTTACTTAGTTAAATTTTTTGTGCTTGTTCAGAATAAGTGGAAAATCCGAGTTCAGCTCACGAAGCCTGTTACATGGCCTCCACTTATTTGGGGTGTAGTCTGTGGAGCTGCTGCATCAGGTAAACTTACATATCAATTATTTCAGTCGACATTATTCTTGATAACCGAAATTAGTTATTTTCTCGTTTACGAATTCTGCATTTGTTATGATTCTTATACTTATTACAAGTGCTAATTTCTCACAGGAAACTTCCACTGGACCGTGGAAGATGTAGCTAAGTCGATCGTCTGTATGCTTATGTCTGGTCCTTGTCTAACCGGCTACACTCAGGTAACATTATCTTATCGGAAAAAAAACTTACCTGGGCGAAATATGGTTGTTTTTGAACTTACCCGACTAATCCGTTATTTATTTATTATATTAAGCATGTTGGTCCACTTAATTTGACAAGCTTCGCAACTTGAGTATTTGCTTCAGAATACCCTCTATGTAACATACATACTGTTATTCAATCTGCAGACGATAAATGATTGGTATGACAGAGATATCGACGCCATTAACGAACCTTATCGCCCAATTCCTTCAGGAGCAGTATCGGAGAATGAGGTATACGACGTTTCTAGTTCTTATCTAAGTCAAAATAAGCTCGTCGTTCTTCAATATTAAACAATTGATGTCATCAGGTGATTACACAAATATGGGTGCTGCTCTTGGGTGGCCTTGGCTTGGGTGGTCTCTTAGATGTGTGGGTAGGTCTTCAAACGGGAATCTCTTCTCTTGCATATAAATTTTTTTTTTTCTCCCGTATAATAGCTTTTTTTTGTACAGGCAGGGCATAATTTTCCGGTGATATTTTACCTTGCCCTCGGTGGATCCTTGTTGTCCTACATATATTCAGCTCCACCTTTAAAGGTATTCGCATCATTCTTCGTCTTCATATAAATGTTCGAAAAGGAAGAGCCAACTGAAACTCCAATTTATCTGTCATCGTAGCTCAAGCAAAATGGATGGATCGGCAATTTCGCTCTAGGAGCAAGCTATATAAGTTTGCCCTGGTAATTTCTTAGCTTTCCGATTCTTATAACTTATTTTGCTTACATGTAATGAAACTCTCTCGGAATTGGAGAAAGACCAATCGCTTCCGTCACTATAATGGTTTTAAATAATCATTGGTTTACTTTGGTATCGATAACTTTTAATAGTTGAAATTAATATGGGATTCAATTGCACCATGATTCTGGACTTAGTTATCATAATTTTTGCTAAGGCATGACACAAACGAGATACTTTTTTCTGTAGCAGTAGTACGTGTCGTAAAGGTCAAAATGCCAATATGTGATGCGTAATATTTGGTCTCATTATTTATTTCAATCGTAGGTGGGCTGGTCAAGCATTGTTCGGGACGCTTACACCCGACATTATTGTTCTAACACTGCTCTACAGTGTAGCTGGTGTATGTGATATCACTTCTTTCATCTTGCTTTCTTTATATATATATGTATATTCTTATCTGCCTTCATGTTTTTATTGTAGCTGGGAATAGCAATTGTAAATGACTTCAAGAGTATCGAAGGAGATCGACAGATGGGACTACAGGTAACCTTATATTCCTAACTTCGATCCGATAGATTCATATGGAATCTTGACATATACAAATTTATTTTATGAGCAATTTTTGGAATAATAATAATAATAATAACTAACATATATACTTACAGTCACTCCCGGTGGCTTTTGGCTCTGAGACTGCAAAGTGGATATGTGTTGGTGCTATCGACATAACTCAGTTATCCGTAGCAGGTAAATTTTACTGTCGACTCAAATAACTACTTCTCCAGTTTATAATTACAAACTAAATTTCTCTGGCATTATTTATTTGTTTCAATTTGCATTTTCATAGTTGTAATGTGAACTATTATTATGTGAAAAATGGAAAATACTGACTGACTTCATTTGATTGAGAATCATACTTAAATGTAAGACTGGTAATTAGTCGGACTGGATTTTGATCTCTAATTTATTAAATTACTTATTGCAAGTCTGTTTATAGAAATAAAACGTATTAGTTAATTAGTAAGTCGATATTAGTATTTCTGCAATTTCTGAAACCATAATATCAAATATTAACGGCAATCGGCATGTGTTGTTCTTGCAGGGTATCTTCTGGGTGCCGGTAAACCATATTACGCTTTAGCACTTGTAGGCTTAATCGCCCCACAAGTCTTTTTCCAGGTAAAGATTTTCCGTATAATCCCATCTTCTAGGATGAGCTTTGTGAATGAAAAATCATTTTTTTTTCAAAGTTTGTTTGAAATATCTCTATGTGAACTGAATTCAATAAACTACGGCAATCTCGGAAATCACAAAAAATAAATTCAATGCGAATAAAGAACGCAGTTGCTTGCTCTAACATGTGAATATAACTACAATGCAGTTCAAGTACTTCCTCAAAGACCCAGTTAAATACGATGTCAAGTATCAGGTACTCTAATTTTTCCCGCAAAACCATATTTTAAATACATTCATTAAGTCGTTCAGCATAAGCAATAAAAAGAGGCGAAACGGAGACTTTTGTGTACATTCTTGAAACCGACTCGTTGTACGTTAATTATGTAATTTAGGTGCATGCTATGTATATGCTGCTAATTATATATACTTCCTCCAAATTCAATTCCAGGCTAGTGCACAACCATTTCTTATACTCGGTCTACTAGTCACCGCTTTAGCAACTAGCCATTGATCCTCCCCCGAAGATAAACGTCAGAAATCAAGGAGATTTCCATAAATGCTTTGCCGCTTCAACTGTATGTAGATCTCTTGCCTATTTTTTTTTTGCTATTATGTTTTTTCTCATCCATCATGTGCTACATGATAGATTCATAGTTCGTTTTCTTGCTAGACCTTTTGCCAAATTAAGTAACAGTAGTTTTTTTATAACTTGATAGAATGCACTTAAACTATTTATATCTGTTTTGTTTTTTCAGTTAGTAAATTTTGATGAGAAACAAATAAGTCTCTATGAAATTGCATGAATTCTCGCACTTCCCAATTGAACCCGAATACCATCTTTCGGTAAAAAAATCAAATATTCGAATTATATGTGGCAGTACTTCAGTGTAAGATAGGGATGGCCATGGGGCGGGTACGGGGAGCGTTTTGGAAAACCTGCACCCGCCCCGCTAGTAAAATTTTCCACCCGTACCCGCCCTGCATACATTTCGGGTTTGGTTTTATTAAACCCGCCCCCGCCCCGTTCCCGTAATTTTTTTTAATTTTAGTTTATTTAATTAAAATATTTCTAAAAATTAATATTTTATAATATGATATAAAAAGTATATAAGGGTGCATTTGGATGGAGGGATTTGGGGGGAGGGATTTTCAAATTCATAATAACAAATCCCTTGGACTTGTTTGGATTGAGGGATTTGGAGATGAATTTCAAAACCCACCCCTTCTAATTTTTAGGTAATTTTGGAGCAATAGTAGTGGATTTCAAATGACTCCAAATTAGAGTCATTTCAAATCCCTTCCCCAATCAAACCCCCCTCCAAATCACTCAATCCAAATGGACCCTAAAATGAATAAAAATAATAAACAAGTTGGATATGGGGTGGATAAGGGTGCATATGTTCAAAACCTGTACACGCCATGTGGCCGGTATGGGTCCAATTTTTAAAATCCGTACCCGCTCCATTAGCTAACATGGCAGGATTACCCAATAAATCCGGGGCGATGCACGGCTGTTATCCGTTTGGGTGGATTAAGTTGCCATCCCTATAATGTAAGATTAATTTATACAAATTAGCTCAATGGATTTCAAATCCTTCAAAAAATAAAAATATATATTAAAGTTCAAGGGTTTTAAGGTGCTCGTCAGAAATTGGGGAAGGCAGGAAATCCTGAATATATGATACACAAGTTGAAACAATTGGTATTTGTGAATCTCCAATTTCTTAAACAAAAGCAAGAAACTAAAATAATCTCCAGAGAGTTGATACAACAAACAAGTTCAAAACTTCAATATAACAAGAGGTTGTGTCACATACAGTACTTTGTTTTTTTCTTTTAAAGAAAAAAATTTCAGTGTCTTAACTCTTTTAACAGAAAAATTATAATACGAGAAGAATAATACAGGAAAAAGCAAACATGAACTGATGAAATAGCATCAAAGGAAAAACCATAGAACCTGAACAACCTCGATTAGCGAGGGCTATTGATTGCATTGAACAATCGGCTCTCCATACTATACTGTTCAGAGTACTCCCTAGAGCTGAAATCAGTATCTGTTGGAGCTGGATATAGATCAGGTTGCTGCTCACATGTTGAATCCATGTTTCTATCGTGGATTATCTATTCTTGTTTATGGGATTGCATATTATACCTTCTCGATGTCTCCAATTTCATAGTCACTTTTTTCATAGTCGGTCTTTCTTCGCCTGCTAACTCGGTCTTTCTTCACTTCTCTCAGTTTTTTTTTTCTTCAAATTTTATAATATATATTAATTTTGTTACTAATTTGGACCGGAATCATCTCAAGACATTTAAAGAAATCGATTTTAGTGAATATTATTTATCGGACAAAATGTTTTGTAGGATAAACGAATAAAAAAGAATTTAAAGAGTTCATTCAGATGTATTTGAGATTGAAAATTGTAGAGAATAAATGTAGTTTTGTAAACCGTTAATAAAAGATAATGGGCGAGAATTAATTTTTATAGTAAAATGTCTGTAACTACTAAAAAACGTTCTAAAATAGGGATAAAAATAAAGATTAAAAAAATATCCTACATTTACTAAAAGCCATTCTGTATTCATCATTTCCCCGTGGAGAAACTAGATAGAGAGAGAAATAAGTGAGTAATCCTATCCTAAATAAAAAACCCTAATACCATATTGGAATAAAAAAATTAATTAATTAATGCTGGCAAATGGGCCATTAAACGACTTCATCTTCTGGGCCTTGACATAGTTATAACTTTTTATACGGTCCATTGAGTTTTTTTGATTTTCTTTCCTTTTTTTTTTTTTTTTCCAGCCCACTTCAGAAAATAAACAATTAGAAAACATTAACTTAGAGAAAGTGTAGTGAAATTACACTTTCCTTTTAAATTACCCTCTACACAAAACGACGTCACTTTGGCTCGTCTTCTTCAAATTCAATCTGCCCTAAATGTGGCAATCTCCTTGGTCGAAATATTAGAGATTGTTTCTGTCGGAAGATTCAAGCTTATGGGTGGCAAACCGAGTCCAAATTCATACCAATTTTCAACCCAATAAGGTGAGCTTTCGACAAAGATTATACTTTTACGGCTCATTTTAAACCTTGAAGGACTGTACCATCGGCTCTCCTCTGTGAACTGAGTAGAATCGAAATTTCAGAGTTAGAGAGAGAGAGAGGGAGGGGGAAATTGGGTATTGTTCTTGTAAGGGCACGCATGTAAAGTGTTCGATATTTGGTCTCTAAGAGTATGAGTTTTCAATTCCAGAAAAGTCTGGTCTGCAAGAAGAATATAATGCATCTTAATTCGTGAAGTTAATTATTTTCTCACTATGTGTTCTACATCTGTCATTGTTTTAATTCTTATAGTTGCCATTGCTACTTTCTCACAGGAAAACTTCATCTGGACGTTTGAAGATGTGGCTAACTCAATTGCCTGTGTATGATTGCCTCTGGATCTTGTCTAACTGACTGCACCATGAAAGGTATTCATATCATCATATCATTTTTCATCCCGATACAAGTGTTCATTTTTCACGTTTTAGAAAAGGACGAGCCAATGGGAACTCTAGTTTTTTTCTGTATTGCAGCTCAAACAAAATTGATGGGTTGGCAACTTTGCACCAGGAGCAACCTACATCAGTTTGCCTCGGTAACTTCTTAACTTTCAAACTAATCTTAAACTTATAATGTATGTATAGAAGTTGTTAGATAGTTGATTATATGACCATCCGATAATTGTGGTCATTAGATAAGATTAGTTAGGCCGAAAAGAAAACACAGGCTCATTTTCAATGTCAAAGAAAATGATCCAATCTGAGCATACATGGACGAACCCCTCAACAATCAGTTACCACCATGCGCATAGATTTATTGAAGTATGTTCACTTGTGCAGAGCCCCAACTGAGTTAGTTACATCTGTCAGTTGACAAGAATGCCCCTTGACCTACTACTACCTTGCAAAAATTACATTCATTTCCACCCCATTCTATGCAAACGGAACAAATAATCTAATGACGTCTTGTAAAGCCAATTCTTTTTTTTTCGAATATAGAAAAACATACATGTTTCATGGTCGATGGTAAAAATAATATAGATGAACTTGTATATTGGAAAGTGGGGTCGTCAAATTAAACCCGAATGACGTAGACTAGCACCCCACCAATCCCAAATGTACAATGGATTTGCCGAAACAATTGGTAATAATAAAGCTTCAAAATCAATTTTTCACAAACGTTACATCATAATTTTGTCAACTGGTAATAATCACCAGAGTTTTGCAAGTTACAACCAAAAAATTCAAGTCCAATAAGCAGAACAGTATTATTGTATCTCATTTTAAAGAAGGATAGATTGTTTCCCAACTCCATGTTGGGTCTGCATGTTGCTTAACGACAAGCTTTCTTATCTCTTCTAACACAAAAAACTGAGAAAATAAATATTATAGGAAATATATCAAATAAAAACATCAAATGAACCTGAAAAACATTGTGTCCGTTTGTTTAACAAGGATTATGGATTGTGTGGAACGTCCGGTTTTCCGGATTGTTCTGTCCAGAGTACCTCCCAGTGCTGAATATCTGGAGTTGTCGGAGTTGTCGAAACTGGATACAGATCAGGTTGCTGCTCACCTCTTAGTCCCATGTTTCTTCGATCAGGGATTATTTCTTCATGTTTGTGGGAATTTAAATTGTACTTACTCAGTCTCTCTAATTCTGTAGTCACTTCTTTCATAGTCGGTCTTTCGTCTCCATTCAACTTCAGACAGCTCTTAACAAGCTCACCAACTGCACTGATTTGCTCCAAACTCCCTTCCCTCATAATTCTCGGCTCAACTATTTGGAACAACCGGTTTTCCTTGACGGACACTACAAAGTAAGTAGCTAGGTTTATCTCTTCTTCACACTTTTCAATACACAAAGGTTTCCTCCCAGTCAAAAGCTCAGCCAAGACCACCCCAAAACTATAAACATCACTTTTCTCTCTCAATCGACTTGTTTGAAAATACTCGGGATCAAGATAACCCAAGGTTCCTTGTACAAGAGTTGTCACTTGTGTTTGATCAATAGGGACAAGTCTTGAAGCTCCAAAATCAGCTATTTTAGCAGTGTAATACTCATCCAATAATATATTTGGTGACTTAACATCTCTGTGGATAATCGGCATTCCTGCTGAAGAATGAAGATATGCAAGCGCGCCGGCAGACTCGATGGCAATTCTCAACCGATTTTCCCAAGAAAACCAAGGCATTCCCCCACTGTTGTGGATATGGTGACATAGAGTATCATTTGAGATATATTCATATACTAACAAAGGAACTTCAGTTTCCAAACAACACCCCATTAGTTTGACCACATTTCTGTGGTTAATCTGAGTAAGAATGACCACCTCATTAATAAATAGCTCTATTTGGTTCTGGTCCATTATTCTTGATTTCTTGATTGCAACAATACGTTTGTCGTCTAAAATCCCTTTGTAAACTGTTCCATACCCTCCTCTGCCAAGGATTCGGTCTTCAGAATAATTGTTGGTGGCATTCTCTAGCTCTTCTGCAGAAAATATTTTAGCCGATTCCATACTACCCTCGTTTGAAGAAAGTTGTTGCTTCAATAGCAAACCGCCATTTTGGTGGAAGAATCTCTCTCGTACTCTGAAAATTCTTCTCTTCTGGATGGTAACGTATATACAAGCAATGCTAATTATCACAACTAAGAATCCAAACCCGAAACCTGAAAATTCACATTTTTTACATCATACACATTGAAGTAAAGTTAACCATATTGAAGCAATTGGAATTCATGTTATATACGTTAGACTCCCCTAGTCTTAGTAGGTATTGATGTATGAGATTTAGCTATCAGTATTCACCTAAGAGTGCTCATAAATTAGAAGCTTCGATTGTGAAACCTCAAAATAAAACTAAACCATTGGTATTCTTATAGAGGCGTTTAGCGTAGATGAGATGGAGAAATATTTGGCTGCTAGCATTCGAGAAGATCAATGGTTCAAGTGTGGAAATTTTTGCTGGATGCCTAAAATTTAAGAAATTATCGTTATGGTGCTGATTTCCATAGTCCATTTCTAAGATTTTGTTTCAAATTTTATATTCTAGAGTACACAATTGTGCTTTGACATATTACCACCTTTTGGTTTGGTTTAGTATTTGAATCACAACTAGACATTGAATTTTATCGTTTAAAATACCCAAAAGGAGCTTCATCGCGGAGATGGGTGTATTCGGCTTAAAGCAGCCATTGCCATCTTTTGTGCCATCACCAAGGAATCCACCAGGACATTGACATTTATAACCACCAAGAGTATTAATGCATTTGCCTTCTGGAACACATGGTCTATTCTCGCATTCATTTATGTCTGAAAGTTGGAAACAAAGATCATTACAGCCGGATCGACCAACATGAAAAGCCAACAAAATGATAACTTGATTGTGTAAATTCAAAAAGAACTAACCTGTGCAGCCTGGCTCAAGATATGGATTGCCTTCATATCCATCAGAACAGCTGCATCGAAATCCACCAAGCTTGGTGTTAGAATCAATGCAATTACTGTTACTGTGACATGTGAAATCGTTGGATTTTTGAGCTTCACTGCAAGTAATATTCCCAATAACCCAATCCAGGAGTATCGGTACATTCTCGATGGTTCTGTTTATAAAGCTCCCATCACTGAGGTCAGAGGAACGGAATGTGTATGTATTCTGCTCTGCAAGAAAGGCATATCCACAAGGGTTAAAGGACCACACATCAATGTGGTTAGCTAAGCTGCTAACAAAAGCAGAAAAATGTGTTAGACCCTTTGGTATTGAGGTTTGGCAACAGCCAGTACCAACACAGTAACCATCAACAATTTCCGCTTTTGCAGAACAACGGGAAACACAGCCACTGGTGAAATTAATCCCACCCAATCCTGATATTATGGCAAGATCATCACATCCGATGGTTATGAGCTTATTTGCATCAGATAAGCTAAAATATTGAGGAAACTTGACGCCGACCGTGGTTTCCCTAGTCAAGTTGCCTACCTGGTTGTAACATATTGTAACCACCCAGTTCTTGATCCTCATTTGGGAATCTGTTATATCAGTAACTTCAATATTGAATGTACCACTAAAGGGTTTTGGAGGATTGAAAGAAGTATCGCATTTGATATCAAATGAAGGGTGTATAGAACATCCGGAACCTATGCCAATGCCAAATGGATATGGAACAATTAAATTCCCACACTTGCTTTCACAGCCAGACAGAGCTATGTTGGTGCCTTTGGTGATGGTCGTTGAAGGTCTGCTTGTGCTGGTTTGATTACAATCCGCCGTCGCCCATTCGATTAATACGAAGAAATTGAAGAAAAGAGAACACAAAAGAATGTTTGTTAGCATTATTGCTGATGATTTTCAGCTAATGCATCGGCAATAATGATTTGTTAGAACTAGCACGTAAGTTTAGGAAAGATAACCAAAAAGGGAATATTATTAAGGAGTTGTAAGAATGACATGATCTGATTGATGGAGCTGTCCGGAAAATAGATTGAAATTAATGCGTGGGTTTGACTTGGATTGATGCTTAAGACAATGTCAAACTAAACCCTTCACACCCCGGAAGAATGTCAACCATATTCTTGTCCTTTTCTTTTCCTGATCTTTTTTTTTCCTTTTTATTCAGAAATGCAGCTGATCAGTTAGCTACAACGTTCAAATGCCGAGCACAGCATATTGCAGGACCTACTAGATTTACGAAATAAATAATTAGAGAAATAAATCAATACGAACTATGCATATTATTCATTTATACGTGAAAATATCATTCGAAGTCATGCTATTATAAATTGAGGTGGGTGCATTATATTACGGTTGTTATATCAGAAGATTCTAATGTAATAATTAAAAGGTGGTGACTTTTGTTTGCTGTTTATTATAAGTAATTAAGCGAGTAATGAAACCAAATTATCTTTCGTTGGACTAATCAAATGTCCTACTGATGCTGATCTGTTCTTGTCATGTAATGTTTGCTTGTGAAGCAGATAGTAACCTGCTTCGAGTTCGAGACAGCATATTGCATTTGCAGGGGCTACTGCTTTGCGAAGTAAATTAATTAGGTAAGTAAATCAATACGAATTATCGAGTATATTATTCATTTTAAATTTTTAATGTGAAAATGTCATAAGAAGCCGTAATATTATAATTTATAAACTGAGGCGGGTGGGAGCATCGTTGTTCTTATATCAGAATATTCTGATGTATCAATTAGAAGTTAATGACTTATCTTTGCTGTTTATCAGTAATTAAGCGATTAATTAAGGCCAAATTCTCTTTCATTGAACTAATCAAAAGTCATACTAATGCCGATAATATGTGCTTGTTATTAAAAAAAAAAGTCTTATAATGCTCGTCACGAACATTTTTCAGTTGACTATGATTCTTTCAGTTGCATATATGAGATCACGCAGCAGTAGAACTGATTATCGAATTTGGCATTTGTTCTAGTTTTTGAACCAAAGAAACACTAGATATAAAATAGTTCTTGGAATAAGTACTTGAAAGGGACAAAGGGTATTGAAATATACCGGCTTTTTTTTTCGGAAATTTATTTTTGTGAACTCATGGCTGGAAATGAGAAGAATAAGACAAGATTAGATGGTTGACTTACATTAATCTTCTTAATTGGATGTGAGTGGTGTTCCTTAATTAAAAATTAAAATACTCTAAATCCTTATCTCGAAATTTAAATTAGTCTCCTTGCATGAAATAAAAATATGGTGTTTAGTTTGACAACGTCTTAAGCATCAACCAAGTCAACCCCTCTCATTTCATTATGTTTCAGACAATTCTGTTCTTACAAACAACATGTAATTACTGCCTGAGGGCGAAAATCATTAATATCTTGAATGCACATTAGCTCAAAATCATCGTGAAGATGCTGACAAGAATTCTTCTGTCGTCCCTTTTCTTCCATTTCGTATTGATCAAATATGCATCAGCGCTTTTTAACAGAACCATCACAAAAGGCGCCAATATAGCCAAGAAAGGCTGCCAAACAAAGTGCGGGAATCTAACAGTTCCATACCCGTTCGGAATCGGCATAAAGTCAGGATGTTCAATCGACCCTTCATTCGACATCAACTGCAACACTTCATTCAACCCTCCCAAACCCTACAGTGCAACAACAGGGAATCTCGAAGTCACCGACATCACAGATTCCCAAATGAGAATCAAGAACTCGGTGGCCACCATCTGTCACCGCCAGCGAGGCAGCCTGCGCAGAGACAACCCGATCTGGATCAAATTAGGGCACTACTTCAGCTTCGCCGACACAAATAAGTTCACAGTCGTTGGGTGCGACGATTTTGCCGTAATAGCGGGAAGTGAGGGGGCCAATTTCTCAGGGGGCTGCGTTTCTTTCTGCTCCTCAAAAGAGGATCTTCAAGAAGGTTCTTCTACCGGTATAGGTTATTGCCAGACCCCAATACCGAAGGGGCTAAACAGCTTCGCTGCTGCTGTACGCAGTTTACGTAATCACACTGAGGTGTGGTCCTTTAACGAATGTGGCTATGCGTTTCTTGCGGAGCAAAACGCCTTCACATTTCATATCGCTGATCTCAAGGAAGAAAATTTTGAAAATAGAACCATTGAGAATGTTCCGATACTCCTGGATTGGGTGATCGGGAATAAAACTTGCACCGAAGCTGAAAAATCCAGCGATTTTGCATGTTGGGGGAATAGTAGTTGCATCAATTCCGATACCAAACATCGTGGATATAGATGCATCTGCTTTGAGGGGTACGAAGGCAATCCTTATCTTGAACCGGGTTGTAAAGGTTAGTTTTTCTTTGTCGGGTTTTTTATTTTATTTTTTCTCTCCTTCAAGGTTCGATAAGATGACTAGTGTGACTTTGGATGTTTGTTTCTGATTTTTCAGACATAAATGAATGCGATAATAATCCGTGTGATCCGAAAGGCATATGCACTAATACTCTTGGTAATTTTACATGTTCGTGCCCTCATGGCTTTGTTGGTGAGGGCACGAAAATCCGTGGATGCGTAAAACAAAGTACATCCATCTCTGCTCTCAAGGTTTCATTAGGTACTTGTGAATGATGAAATTCAATGTCTTTAAAGGCAATGTTTGGTTGAGTTTTCATTTTGTTTTCATTGATTCCCCGAAACAAAATTATATTTATTACACTTTCTCAAATAATTTTCTCAAAACAATCTCAAAAGTTTCTCTCTCCTTCAGACATGATGTGACTGCTACAGTAAAATGATTTGACTGCTACAGTAAAAAATGTCTTCACTAAAAAACAAATAAATATCACTTCATCTTTCAATTTTTTTCTTCTAAAATACTTTTTCCTAACACTTTTAAATATGATGTGACTGCTACAGTGTATTTTGTCTCCTTCCAAAATATAAACAAACATTACTTTCATTCTCAAATTCTTCCCCCAAAACACATTTCCTCAAAATGAAATCAAAATAAGTTCCAAAACGCTTCCAAACATTGGCCTTTTGCTTTTTAATTTTGTTTTCATGAAGGATATTTTTTTATTTTTTTTTAGGTTTATGTTTTGGATTATTGGGTGTGATAATCGCCATGACATGGATATACTTTGCCGTTCAGAAAAGAAGACTCGTGAGAGTAAGAGAGAAATTCTTCGAGCAAAACGGTGGTTTGTTATTGCAGCAGCAGCTTTCTTCGGACGAGAATAGTATGCACTCATCAACTCAAATATTTACCGCCGAAGAGCTCAAGAAGGCCACCAACAACTATGCCGAAGATCGAATCCTCGGCCGAGGGGGTTACGGTACGGTTTACGAAGGGATCCTAAGCGACGAACGTGTTGTGGCAATCAAGAAATCAAGAATAATGGACCAGAGTCAAATAGAGCTATTTATAAATGAGGTGGTTATTCTGACTCAAATTAACCATAGAAACGTGGTCAAACTAATGGGATGTTGTTTGGAAACTGAAGTACCATTGTTAGTGTATGAATATATCGCAAACAATACATTATATTACCATATCCACAACAGTGGAGGAATGCCATTTTTTTCTTGGGATAATCGTCTGAGAATTGCGACAGAGGCCGCCGGTGCACTTGCATATCTTCATTCTTCAGCAGGAATGCCGATTATCCATAGAGATGTTAAATCACCCAATATATTATTGGACGAGTATTACACTGCAAAAATAGCAGATTTTGGCGCTTCGAGACTTGTTCCTATTGATCAAACACAAGTGACAACTCTTGTACAGGGTACATTGGGTTATCTTGATCCTGAGTATTTTCACACAAGCCAATTGACAGAGAAGAGCGATGTATATAGCTTTGGGGTTGTTTTGGCTGAGCTTATGACAGGGAGAAAGCCTCTGTGTACTGAAAAGAGTGAAGCGGAGAGGAATTTGGCTACTTTCTTTGTAATGTCGGTGAAGGAAAATCGTTTGTTTCAAATAATCGAGCAGAGGGTTTTGAAGGAAGGGAGTTTGGAGCAAATCAGTGCTGTGGGTGAGCTTGTTAAGAGGTGCCTGAAGCTGAACGGAGAAGAAAGGCCGACTATGAAAGAAGTGACTATGGAATTGGAGAGGTTGAGAAAGTTCCATAAAATTGCACATTCACAGAAACAAGAAGACGTATTTAGAGATGATAGAGAAATGGGATCAACAAGTGAGCAGCAAGCTGATTTGTATCCCGTTTCTACACATCCTGATTTCAGTACCGGAGAGTACTCTGGACAGTACAGTTTGGACAGCCGATTTATAAAAGCAATCAATACCCCTCGCTAAACGGAAACAATGTCTATATACGAGGTTCTTATTTGGGTTCAATGATTCTTAGTTTTCTTCGATACTCTTGTGTTCGATGTTCTTTTTTATTTTATTGTTGTCCTTGTATCGTCCTTCTTGTATATATATATATATATATATATCTAAATAATCGAGTTTGGAAACCATATGCATATGACACATTTCTACTGTTGTTGTATTGAGCTTTTTTTTGGTAGTATGAACAAGTCGTGATATTAGTTTCTTGAATTTTTTTATTTTTCCTTTCTGACGTTGTGTGGTAACGTTTATGCTTTTGAAGCTTACGATTGTTTCAGCTAATAACGATTTTAGTGAAGGAATGACGAAAATTAGTTGTTTGTTTGTCACTGTTGAACTCTATTAACTAAATAGTTAGATATGAGTAATATATTCAACTGAAATGTTTTACCTGAATTCAAGTTTGCAATAAAAATTGAATACAGTTAATTATTATTGTTCAATAAATTGTTATTAAAATAAAAAATGTTATATAAAACTCGTATTTAACCTGAATGAAACATCAAAGGCGCGACGGAGCATCGAGCCCACCGCCGCGGAGGACCCTACCACCGTCGCCCGCCGTAAACCTCAGAATTAGAGAGACGGAAAATGGGGCAATTTAGCGCCTTTTTTTAAAGTAAGCGGTTCTGTCAATTTTTTTTAAATTTTTTTTATTTATTTGACATGGTCTTCTGTCAGGTATCTTATGCATAAAATTCATTCGTAATCAAATGTGATTGTTAAATATCAAAAACATTCATATTGTTATAAACTACTGATGGTGGGTACATGATCACGGTTGTTGTATTAATTAGATGTGAATGATTTATCCATGTTATGTTGTAGGCAATTAAGCTATTAATTAAAGACCAATTATTTTGCATTTAACTAATCAAAAGTCATTAGATGATGATCTGTGTTTGTTATATAAAAAAAGACTTGTAATTAGAGTCTGCTTTAGAAATTGTAAATGCACAGCACTAACATTCTACAGTTGAATATGACTTTTTCAGTTGCTGAATTAGGCAAACTATATACTTGTTCTTGAAATAATACCTAATAATATTCTGGAATGTGGTGGGTTGTCCTTGATTAAAATACTCGTAAAATCCTTATCTCGAAAATCGAAATATGAATTATAATCCTTAAAATGAATTTTTTTGTATGTTGTTTAGCTGGTCAATGTGTTGAGCATCAACCAGGTCAACTGCTATCGTTTCATGTTGCTTCAGACAGTTTCATCAATGACATCATATTATTCTTGCCAGTAACTTATTGGTGTAGCTTGTAGGTATATGTATATAGGGCCTAAGTATGAAGATCATTATTGTTGTGAATGCATATTAGCTAACTCATCAAAATCCTCACCAAAAAAATGCTAACAAAAATTCTTTTGTGTTGTCTTCTCTTTCATCTTGTATTGATCGAATGGGCTTTGGCGGTTTCTAATGAGACGACCACAAAGAGATCTCCGACAACTATTACAAAAGGCGACAACATAGTCAAGCCTGGCTGCCAAAAGAAGTGCGGGAATTTAACTGTTCCATATCCATTCGGCATTGGGATAGACTCAGAATGTTCTATCGACCCTCAATTCGACATCATTTGCAACACTTCTTTCAATCCCCCAAAGCCCTTTGTTATGGGAAATCTTGAAGTTATTGATATAACAGATTCCCAAATGAGGGTCAAGAATGCAGTGGCTTTCACCTGTTACAACAAGCTAGGAATCTCCGATAGGCAAATCTGGTTCAGTATCTTGTTAGATCCATATTTCACCTTCTCGGATACAAACAAGTTCACTATCATCGGATGTGATGATTTCGCCATTCTATCTGGAACTAAAGGGCTTAATTTCTCGATCGGGTGTGTTTCTCTTTGCTCTGCGAAAGAGGATATTCTTGATGGTTCATGTACTGGCATAGGTTGTTGTCAAACCACAATTCCAAAGGGCCTACAGAGTATTGAATTTAGTGTTGGAAGCCTCAAGAATCACACTAAAGTGTGGTCCTTTGACCCTTGTGGTTACGCCTTTGTTGCAGAGCAGGATACGTTCATGTTTCGCACTGAAGACCTCAATGACACTAGGTTTGAAAATAGAACTGTCGAGAATGTTCCGATACTTTTAGATTGGGTCATTGGGAATATAACTTGCAAAGAAGCTAAGGAATCCAACGATTTTGCATGTCGCGGGAACAGTGTTTGCATTAATTCTGACACAAAGCTTGCTGGATATCGTTGCAACTGCTTCGAGGGATATGAGGGCAATCCGTATCTCGAGCCAGGCTGTAAAGGTTAGCCATGCTAGAATCTTTTTTCTATTTATTTATCAATAGTCTGATAAGCTGACTATTATGACATTTGTTTCTGATTTGCAGACACGAATGAATGTGAGGATAATCCATGTGGTACAAACGCCGAGTGCACTAATACATTAGGTAGTTATACTTGTTCGTGTCCTCATGGATTTACTGGTAATGGAACAAAACCGCATGGCTGCTTGAAACAAATTACGCCCATCTCAGCACTGAAGATCTCATTAGGTACTCGTCGATCATAAAATTCAATATTTATCTATTTTCTTTTGATTATGTTCCATTGTTTTATGGGTAGGAAGTTGTAAAAAAAAAGATTTTTTTTTTCAGGTCTTGGGTTTGGATTCTTGGCTGTGATAATTGTGATTACTTTGGCATATTTCACCATCCAAAAGAGGAAACTCGTAGGGATGAGAGAGAAGTTCTTCGAGCAAAATGGCGGTTTATTAATGAAGCAACAAATGTCTTCACATGAGGGTAGTATGGAATCAGCCAAAATATTCTCAGCAGAAGAGCTCAAGAAGGCCAGCAACAACTATTCCGACGATCGCATCCTTGGCCGAGGTGGTTATGGAACAGTTTACAAAGGGATTCTGAGCGACGATCGTGTCGTTGCAATAAAAAAATCAAAAATAATGGATGAGAGCCAAGTAGAGCTATTCATTAACGAGGTGGTTATTCTGACTCAGATTAACCATAGAAACGTCGTCAAACTAATGGGTTGCTGTTTGGAAACTGAAGTTCCTTTGTTAGTGTATGAATATATCTCAAATAACACCCTGTATTACCATATCCACAACAGTGGAGGAATGCCTTGGTTTTCTTGGGAAAATCGGCTAAGAATTGCCACAGAGGCGGCCGGTGCACTTGCGTATCTTCATTCTTCGGCAGGAATGCCGATTATCCATAGAGATGTCAAGTCACCCAATATATTGTTGGATGAATTCTACACTGCCAAAATTGCAGATTTTGGAGCTTCGAGACTTGTCCCCATTGATCAAACACAAATAACCACTCTTGTCCAGGGAACTTTGGGTTATCTCGATCCAGAGTATTTCCATACAAGCAATTTAACAGAGAAAAGCGATGTTTATAGCTTTGGTGTGGTTTTGGCTGAGCTTATGACAGGGAGAAAGCCTTTGTCTATTGAAGGCAATGAAGCAGAGAGGAATCTGTCTACTTTCTTTGTAATGTCGGTGAAGGAAAATAGATTGTTCCAAATAATCGAACCGAGGGTTTTGAAGGAAGGGAGTTTGGAGCAAATCAGCGCAGTAGGTGATATTGTTAAGAGGTGTCTGAAGTTGAATGGAGAAGAAAGGCCGACTATGAAAGAAGTGACAATGGAATTGGAGAGGTTGAGAAAGTTTAATAAAGTTGCACATTCGTACAAACAAGACGAGATGTCTAGAGATGATGGAGAAATGGGATCAACAAGTGAGCAGCAACCTGATTTGTACCCGGAGTCGATAAATCCTGATTTCAGTACCGGAGAGTACTCTGGACAGTACGCTTTGGACAGCCGATTCATGAAAGGAATTAATAACCCTCGCTAGACTGGGAGTATATTAGTATACGAGGTTCTTGTCCAGGTTCCATGATTCTTAATTACCTTTTAATTTGATGTTCTTATGCTCGATGTTGTTTTTTTTTTTTCTTCGTATTATCCTTTTCATGTTTGTGGTTTTCGTGTGTTGGAAGAGTTGAAGAAATAATCTAAATTATTGTTGATTTAAATTGTGTGCATGAATGTGTATATACTATAAACACATTCTGGCGTTCTGCAGTTGTTTGTATTGAACTTTATTGGTTGTGTATGAAATTTGGTGAATTTTATTTTCTTGAAATCTCAATTATTGGATTTAAATTTGTGTGCATGGATATTATATGTAAATGGAATCTGAAGTCGTCGTTGACCTACAGCTAACAATGAATGAACCCTTGTTTAAGAAGTAAACTCATGGCTCCTCACATGGCAAATTGTGGACAACTAACTAAGCATGATTGAAATTAACAAGATTATGACCAATTCTACGGCCGCATATTGCGTGTTATAAAAAGTCTTTTAACACGACAAAAATCAGACAATTCATATTCTCTGCAAGTTGACTTTATATAAATATTTGTGATTGGTGACATGCATGCAATTTTTGTTTCCCTTCTTTTTCCAATTTTTATTATTATTTTTTATTTCTGGAAATCGCGCGTATGAGTGTAAATGAATCAAGCTCGCGATTTTGACTCAATTGAAGACCTCGAATTCTAGTAAATTCCGATAAATCAAAACTTAACTCGAGCTCGAACAATCCCAACAAAACTCAATATCGAGATTAATTTTTGAATAAAATATATTATTTGGCATCCAGCTTTAAGAAAAAAAATAATAAAATTCCCTTAATTTTCAAATTTAACTCATTAATTAACAAAAAAAAAAATTCATTTTTCTTGTTATTTCTTTTAATTTGCATTTTTTGGTCAAACTCATAATATTTTTTTTTTGTAATATTGTAGCATGAAATAGAAAGGAAGTTTAACATTTATCGCATGACTAGTGCAAGTCAACCCTATCAGCAAATTCAACCGCCGTATGTTTGACCGGCTACCCTCCGCTTCTCACACTATATTATCATTTTTCAATTTTCACCACTTCAAATCTGCAGCCATAGTACATACTCACATAGTCATGCCGGAAAATATGCTTCCGCTGCTAGCCTGGATTCTCTTCGCCGGCGTAACCTCAACATTCGCCGCCACCAATTCCACCACCACCACCACCGACACGTTCAATATTTTGAAAGCCCCAACCATCTCCAAACCAAATTGCGCGAGCAAGTGCGGCAACCTAACCGTGCCCTACCCCTTCGGCATCGGCGTAGGCAGCGGCTGCGGAATCGGACAATTCTTCGAGCTCAATTGCACCGCCGGCCGAGCCTACATCGGCGACATCCGAGTCTTCGAAATCTCCGACAGCCAGCTGCGCATCTCCAACGTCATCTCCAGGAGATGCTACGACCGAACCGGCGCGGCGGTCCTGACGAACTCGGCCTCCTCCAACATCATCGGCACCCCGTTCAGCTACTCGGAGCTCAACAGATTCACCGTCGTCGGCTGCGACGACTTCGCCCTGGTCATCGGAAGCGGCGGCGTGAATTTCACCAGCGGCTGCGTTTCGTTCTGCTCGAGAGCCGAAGACGTGATCGGCGGATACTGCTCCGGCATAGGGTGCTGCCAGACTTCCCTCCCCAAGGGTTTGAAATACTATTTAACCAATCTCAGCAGCTTGAAAAATCACACTGCGGTTTCGTCGTTCGATCCGTGCAGCTACGCGTTCCTCGGCGAGCAGGAGCGCTTCGTTTTCCGTGGCGCGTCGGATCTATCCGACCCGAATTTCATGCGTCGGGTCCTGGATACGGTCCCCATTGTTCTCGATTGGGCGCTTGGGAATTTGACATGTGCAGAAATTGATCAGGGCTCCGGATCTGATTATGCCTGCAAGGCTAATAGCGTTTGTGTCGATTCGGATACGGGTTTGGCCGGTTACCGATGCAGCTGCAAAGACGGTTACGAGGGCAACCCGTATCTCGATCCGGGCTGCACAGGTAAAATTCGTCCAACCACAATTAATAAATCAAGTGTTACTTAATATAGTAATCCATCTGTTACATAACTGTCTCTTTTAAAAAAAAAAATTATTCCATATTATCTGTCATTTTAGATTTCCAATATTGCATTAAATGTGTTTTTTCCTGTTTTAACCTTATTAATTCAACTATATGTATTAACTCTCTAATCATATTAATATATTATTAAATCATCAAGGTTATTTTAGTCTTTCTAATGTATTTTTTCTAAAATCAAGACACATTTATTGAAATTCTTAATACTTGTGCCAAGCTAAAAACGACGATTAATTCAGAACGGATGGAGTACTAATCATGTTAGATGTTTCGGTTTTGTAGATATCGATGAATGCAATCCAAGCCTTAATCCAAAACTTAATGACTGTGAGAAGCTCTGTACGAATACTCCGGGAAGTTTCACTTGTTCGTGCTCGCCCGGGGAATATGGCGACGGCAAAATTAACGGAAAAGGTTGCAATCCGTACAACTCCGAATTTCCGGTAGTGAAAGTGTCTCTAGGTACATTACTTTAATTTCCTTCTTTTTTTATTTATCTCTTCGTATTGTAATCCTTTTCATTTTCTTAACAATTAAGTACGTTACACGCAGGTATCGGGTTCGGGTTTCTAGCCCTAGTTATTGGAGTGACATGGCTATACTTCAGCGTCAACAAAAGAAAACTCGCGAAACGGAGGAATACATTCTTCCAGCAAAACGGCGGTTTGTTACTAAAACAGCAAATCTCTTCCACAGAAGGTCCGATGGATTCCACGAAGATATTCACAGCCGAAGAGCTTGAAAAGGCCACAAACAACTACGCGGACGAAAGAATCCTCGGCAGAGGAGGGTATGGCACGGTCTACAAAGGAATCCTACCCGACAAACGCATAGTCGCGGTCAAAAAATCCCGAGTGATGGACGAAAGCCAAGTCGAACAGTTCATAAACGAAGTAGTGATTCTCACACAAGTCAACCACAGAAACGTGGTCAAACTCCTAGGTTGTTGTCTCGAATCAGAAGTACCCTTATTGGTGTACGAGTACGTTTCAAACGGCACCCTCTTCGAGCACATCCACACCAGAGGAGGAGGAGGAGCGGCGTCTTGGTTATCCTTCCAGAACCGTTTACGAATCGCAGCAGAAGCTTCCGGAGCATTGTCGTATCTTCACTCAGCAGCTAACATCCCCGTTATTCACAGGGACGTGAAGTCCGCGAACATTTTATTAGACGAGCATTACACTGCCAAAATATCGGATTTCGGCGCTTCGCGGCTGATATCATTGGACGAGACGGAAGTGACAACTTTAGTGCAGGGTACTTTAGGGTATCTCGATCCGGAATATTTCCACACGAGTTTGTTAACCGACAAGAGCGACGTGTACAGTTTCGGGGTTGTTCTTGCTGAGCTTCTAACGGGGAAAAAGCCGATCGATATGGAGAGGAGCCAAGAGCAGAGGAATCTGACGACTTATTTTATAATGTCGTTTAAGGAGAACCGATTGTTTCAAGTGTTGGATCCTAGGGTTGTGAGGGAGGGGTCGTTGGAGCAGCTTCAGGCGATTGGGGATTTGATAAAGAGGTGTTTGAATATGAATAGCGAAGATAGGCCGACGATGAAGGAAGTCGCTATGGAGTTGGAGGGTTTGAGGAAGTTTACGCAGCACCCTTGGGCGAATAACGATGCCGATCGGAGCGGTGTTGGGGAAGAATCTGCGGGGTTGATCGGGAATGAATCGGGAACCGGTGATCTTTACGGTGCTCCGGTTGCTGCTTCGGATGATCTTTATACTGTTGGTCCTATTAGGCCTTATAACAGTAATGAGGAATTATCGGGGCAGTATAGTTTGGGCAGTGAACCGAGTCAGATTATCTTTCCGCATGTGCATAGCCCTCGTTGATTAATGATGACGAACGTGTCTGTGTTTTGATTTACTTTTTCTTGATTATTTCACTTTTTCTATATGATGGTTTTGGAGCAGTGTAGTTAATATCGCGATACATCGCGATACATGTATATGTATCGATTGTAATCAAATACCGTTAAATATCGCTTGATTTGGTAAATAAAATGTTTGGTATGTTCTCGAGCATTTCATTATCTTCTGTCAAATTATTTTCATAGGGTACCTCGACTCTCTTGATCCAAAAGCTTCTCAAGTTAATAAATCTTTTAGTAAATAAATTTTAAAATTGTTCACAAATCTAAATTAGAACGTTAAATGATAATTGAATCGGGTAAATTACAACCACCTCCCTGAGGTAAAGTGTAATTACAAGAAAAATCCCTTTTTTTTGATAAATTACATCAAACTCCCTTCAATTTCTAAAGTTCTTATATTCACCCCCTACAAAAGGGTGTTAACGTAAGACATTTACAAATGTCAAGGGGATAGATGTAATTATTAGAACATAAGAGGTTTATTTGTAAATATACCGGACATAAGGGGTGGATGTAATTTAGCCTAATTAAATCCGACGGCAAAAGTTGGGCCAAGCTAGATAATTGCCGCAAGCAGTAAAGCATTCAGTAGCCCAGTTTAATTGGCCCATTCGACTGTTCTCAATTTGGATCCGAATATAATAATTTAATACGGATACCGCACGTGGCGCGACACGTGAGTGATTATTTCCCCTGAAGAACTGGGGCCCACCACCAAAAAGGAAATTCCAGTTTTAATACCTCTCCATTTGCTACCGCCACAGAGATTTATCATTTATGCCTCTAAAACACGCACCTACACCTACCCAGGGGTGAGTGAGTGAGTGAGCAGCGGGGGAACATTTACATACGTCAGCTCCCATTTCAACGCCGTCCGCCGCCTCTAATTCTCGAATTCCGATGGCGGAGGAGAGTCGGAAAACCTCGAAGTCAATCCCGCCGTACATGAAGGCACTGTCTGGATCCCTCGGCGGCGTAGTCGAAGCCTGCTGCCTACAGCCGATCGACGTCATCAAGACGCGTCTCCAGCTCGATCGAACCGGTTCCTACAAGGGGATTATCCACTGCGGCAGCACCATCGCCAAAACCGAAGGTGTCCGGGCAATGTGGAAGGGTCTCACGCCTTTCGCCACGCATTTGACGCTTAAATACGCGCTCCGGATGGGCTCCAATGCGGTCCTGCAGTCCGGTTTCAAGGACTTGGAGACCGGGAAAATCAGCCACCATGGTAGGATGTTGTCTGGATTTGGTGCCGGAGTGCTCGAAGCTCTGGTTATCGTCACTCCATTTGAGGTTAGTAAGTTCGATTTCTTCTTCAATCTTCTAGCAATTTCGTCAATGCCGTTAGATTGCTCCTTTTTTTTTTAATTAAAAGTTGTTGATTTGTTGTTTTAATTAATGAATTATCTTACTGTAACATCAATTCAGATAGAGATTATCTAGTTGCTATGATCATTTTGATTTTTGAGTATGCTAAAAAATCGAGGTGTGTGTGGTTAGTTAAACGAATCGATCGTGTTTCTGAATACGTGTCGACGAAGTTGGACTATTGGGGATTTTAATTTCTATATGTGAGGAGAATCATGAGTTTCATCCTCTGTATAGCATGACTTGTGGTAATTACTGTGTGTAGTTGTGAAGACGTATATTCGTAATTCTGATAAGAGCATTGGTAGTTTAAACAGTTGTTTAGGTTTCTCAATGTGTACCTGGTTTGAATATGTCATAGACAACGATAGATGAGATGAATACAAACAAGTGATAACTGAGAACTACAATGCAACTGTTGTTTATCCAACTACAATAATCGAGTTCAATGCGCTTTCGTTGATTATGTAGCTTATAGAGTCCTGGCATGATTAGATGTGAGGTGACGACCTTCTTCCGTTGCACAAATTAGCGAAGCTTTCGTTGTAACCTGCTCTCCGCTTCAATTTGCCCTGCCTAATTCTATACTCAATTGTTGTGCTCCTCTCATTTTCTTTATTCACGAAATTCGAAATGCATCCATTGCGCAAAATATGAGCAGTTACAGACTGCAGGTTTTCTTTGTTATCCTTCTGTTTCAGTTTACAGTTTAATGTGTGATTCCTTTGTGGTACATATAGCAAAAGATCTCAATCTGTTGTTTCTGTCGATTGGAAGTACTCTAGCACAAAATGTAGTTCTAACTTCTAAGTAATTCCTCCTATAGAAATATAATCTTAAAGAACTTGTGTGGGAGCAGGTGGTGAAAATCAGACTTCAGCAGCAGAAAGGATTGAGCCACGAACTCCTCAAGTACAAAGGACCAATACACTGTGCTCGTACAATCATCCGCGAGGAAGGCCTTCTTGGTTTATGGGCAGGCGCTTCCCCAACTGTGATGCGCAACGGAACAAACCAAGCTGCTATGTTCACAGCCAAAAATGCATTCGATGGCGTATTATGGAACAAGCACGAAGGCGATGGAAAAGCACTCCTGCCTTGGCAATCTATGATATCAGGGTTTCTTGCAGGGACTGTGGGCCCCGTTTGCACCGGTCCGTTCGATGTTGTGAAAACGAGGCTTATGGCTCAGAGCAGATCTTCTTCTGGAGAGATGAAGTATAAAGGTATGTTTCATGCTATCAAGACTATACACGCAGAAGAGGGAATTCGTGCACTGTGGAGAGGATTGTTGCCTCGGCTTATGAGAATCCCGCCTGGACAGGCCATTATGTGGACTGTGGCTGATCAAATAACTGGCTTTTATGAAAGGAAATACATAAGCAGTGCACCTTTATCATAGGTTCGCTCTTACGTAATAATATCTGCATTTTTCATCGGAGGAACTGATTTTTTTTTTTTTTCTGGAGTTGAGCTCTCGAGCATTGCTCTTACTTACTTTGTGATAGAAGAGTTCATTAGCTGGCGGAACTGTTGTGCTTCTTTAGCTTTAAACTTAGGGTTTTCCAGAGGAGACGTGTTACACATTCTTATGTTGTCCATTCTTGACTATAGCAAAAATCTTACTTACTATGGCGTATTGGGAGATCTTTTACTATTCGGATACAAGTGGTTGATTCAAAACCCAGAATGTCGAATTTGTATGAAGGATTCGTTTGTATCTCTTTTTTCGTTGTCTTGAAATTTGTATGAGAAACGGGGACGTTTACTCTGTTATGGAGAAATCTGATCCAATATGTGCTTTGGTATGAAGGAAAATAAATAGTGGCATCATAATATCTAGTACCCTCTTTTAATTTTACATTCACAATTGCTTTATATATCAAAGTTTTATGAAAATAAATAGTGCCATCATATTATCTAATGCCCTTGTTTTAACTTATACGTACGAAGGAATACCCAACGATGTTTTTCTTGTAAATTCACGAAAAATATACACTCTTCGTTTTTTCTTTAAAATTCACGAAAAATGTACACTATTCATCCATTTGTATCGAAATATAATCACAACCTACGTTCAACCACGAATATAAATATATCTGCCTATCATAGAAAGATATCACGAGCGAACAAAAAATGGATTTGTCGTAACGAAAAAAATAAATACTTTCTAATAAAGAGATATCGAGGATTCGAATCCCATATATGCTTGTTTTCTCACTGTATAGATTTCTTATTCAATTCGCTCGTCTTGGCTCATAAATAATGGGAATCAATATTCAGTTGAGTTTTTTACGAGAAAAAAAAATGTCTAAGCCGCTTTGTTTCTTTTTGTCCAAGTGCATTTTATGTCATATTTACTTTAATTTTAAAGAAATCGCATGCAATTTTTATTAACAAAATCAACACATGATTGAATTTATATTTGTTGAACAAATTATCTTCTAAAAACTCAGTATTTAGGAGATTATGTACCTATAAAAAATACATTGTAGAAGAGTTTCATGATTTTTTTTTAATTCAATGTAATGCATGAGCACTGCAATAATTATTTTATCAAGAATAAAAAATGTGAATATGAAATTAAATAATTTTCCTCTAAAAAGAATTAAGTACTTTCACCCCTTTTTATTTAGGGGGCTTAAGATATAGGTCCCTAGTGACAAATCTAATTAGAACTAAATGACAAGTCAAACTAAACTTTTGCTTCACATCCTTTATTAAATTTATTCCAAAAATGCCCTTTCACTGCATTTAGTAAAATTCAAACTGCATTTATCATTTTTTATTATGCATTTAATATCTTATTTTTTCATCTAACATATTTTATTTTATTTTTATAGATTGTCGTCTTTATTTTTTTGATTCACTCTAGCATTTTTTTATATTATTATAAACAACTTAATTTTTTTATTTATTTTTTTACATTTTTACATAAAATTACGATTTTTGTTCTCGTTTTTGTTAAATAAAACAGCAGTTTTTAAAATACTATGGTATACTATGGTATACTATAGTGTACTATGGTATACTATAATTTAGTAATATTGAAAATTATGAATGTTTAAAAAATAAAATCGGTCGCAGTCGACCATAGACACCGATAGGAACCATAGTAATTCGTAGTCACGTATTCTTAAAACCGTAACTCACATTTTGAACCATAGCCGCTACCCATTCGTAGACACTCATAGTAATTCGAGAAACCCGTAGTCATTCGCACTCATCCAATATGAAACCCTAGATCCACCACCACCACCACCTCCCCCTCCATCCTCATCCTCCATCTTAATTAGCCTTCCCCTTCTCCAAACATAACATCAAATTCTAACAAAAAAATTACCGTCATCATCGAAAAAAACCACCACCGACGCCATCGACCAAAACCGTCGCCGCCCCCAACTACCAAAACCACCATCGCTCGTCCACCCCCTGCGACCAAAACTGCCGCCGCCCCCTTCGACCGAAACCACCGCCTCCCCCACCGACCAAAACCACTGCCGCCAGCCGTCCCCAGCGACCAAATCCACCGCCGTCCCTAGCGACCGAAACCACCGCAACCCCGAGCGACCAAAACCACCGCCGCACCTAGGGACCAAAACCGCCGCCGCTCCTAGCGACCACAACCACCGCAGCCCCCAGCGACCAAAACCCCGCCGCCCGCCGCCCTCACACCAAGATCCGATCTGAAAAAAATCCTACAACTAATATCTCCAAATCAGCATCACTATCTAAAATAGAGAAAGATAGAGATAGAGAGAAGAATAGATGAAGGGCTGGGGCCAATGAAAAAATGGAGAAAAAAGACCATGATGGGGTGATGAGAAATTGGAAAAAAAAACAGAAGAGAAAAAGCCAGCGGCGGACGAGAGAGGAAGAGAGAATGGAAGGGTTGATTTTATTAGGTATAATAAGGGTATTTTTGGGTTAAATAAAAATAAAAGGATGTTGGTCAAATTTTATTTTAAATTAAGAATTTAATTAAAATGTTCTATTTTAGGTTGTCCCTCACATCTAATTAGGTTTGATTTTAGGGGTGTCTCCAATATTAACCCTTATTTATTTATTTATTTAATTTAATTTTAGATTATTATAATTGTTGGAAAAAAAAAAAGGAAAGTGCTATAACGGAATTAACATTTTCCAACAGGGGTCACCTCAATAACCCTACCCCAGACACTGGTAACGCGATAAGCACATTATATATAAAGCTGAAAGCACACTTCTCTCTGCCGACCTCAAACCCTAACCTCACTCTGTCATTTCCTGCTTTGCTCCGAACCATTTGCTAAACCCTAATTCCGTACGCCTCTTGAGTTTACGCTAATTTCTTCAACTGGTATTTCTCTTCGATCTCTCTTAACACAAGTTTTTTTTTTTTTGTGTTTGCGGTTTGATTTATTCTATTGTTTTTTTTATTTAATTTTTTTATTCAAGGTTGAGACAATGGCGGACGAGATAAGGGAGGAGAACGAGGAGTTGGATCTCTCCTCTCCTGAAGTTGTCACCAAATACAAATCCGCTGCTGAAATTGTTAACAGTTAGTTTTTTTCCTTTTATTTTTTGTTTCTATCTCTCTCTACGCATTTTATTTACACCGGGATACCGCGGTTCCGATTTTGTTGCATTAGAAGATTGATTTATGTGTATTTTGAGTGATGTGGGTTTAATTGCATATTTGATGTGAATGTATCTATTGAATAAATGCAGAAGCGCTTCAGTTAGTTTTGTCGCAATGCAAACCAAAGGTTAAGATTGTTGATCTATGTGAGGCAGGGGATGCTTTCATCAGAGAGTGAGTAAATCTCCCTTGCTTTGTACTCGTTGAATGCATTTTCATTTGATAACATCAGATTTTTTTAGTAATAATTTCATATGGTAGTGTTTGTTGCTATGTGTATTGGTCTAATAGATGTTTCTGGTTATAGGCAAACTGGGAACATGTACAAGAATGTGAAGAAGAAGATAGAAAAGGGTGTTGCATTTCCGACCTGCGTTTCTGTGAACAACACTGTCTGCCATTTCTCACCACTAGCGAGTGATGAGTCCGTGTTGGAAGATGGAGATATTGTGAAAATGTAAGTCGTTGCTCAAATAAATTTACGAGACACGTTATACCGTATGTTATTTATGTACCTTCATTAAATTGGAAATAAATGTTTTTTTTTGGCAGTGATATGGGCTGTCACATAGATGGGTTTATTGCTGTAGTTGCACATACCCATGTACTTCAGGAAGGACCAGTGACTGGCAGAGCAGCTGATGTTATTGCTGCAGCAAATACCGCTGCCGAGGTTGCCTTGAGGCTTGTGAGGCCAGGGAAAAAGGTATTACAACCACTCATTCAATGGCTCTTCTAATTTCCAGTCTTGCTTTTCATGTTGTACGTACTTTGGAAATGAAAATAAAGTCCATTTGTGTCAGTTTTGTGTTTGATCTATGGGGCATAGCCAACCTATATTTTTATTTAATCATTACGGTCTGACTTATAGGGTGTTTTGCTTGTTGATGTTTGACTATAATTGCTTATTGTAACCAACTTTTAGTTAAACCCTCTAATCCCATTGAGAGGGAAGCCATTGTTACTTAGAAAGTGTGTATTGCATTTATGTTGAGGGGTAAACATGATTCTCTACATGATGATGATAGTACAGAGTGATGGATCTTGAATCTAATGAAGCTCTTTGTAGTCATAGTTACACTGATAGAGGTATCATGGTTTCCTCTCATAACGTGTTTTGCATTCAAGTGTTTTCATATGCTTGTCATTAGCTGTTATGTTGGTTTTATATTATTTGTGTTTTTTTAAAGAAAATTGGCCTTATAAATGGCGTACGATGGAACCCTTGGCCTAATACTACCCTCCCCACCCCAAAACCAGCTGTATTTATTTTGAACGGTAAACATGGCTCTCTACATGATGATAATCAAGAAGGATGGATCTTGCATCTAATGAAGTTCTTTATAGTCATAGTTACACTGATAGAGATGCCATGTTTACTTTGTTTCTAGTGTTTTTTTAATTCAATTTCTAGTAGTCTTTCGACTAAACCGTTCGAATAAATCCTTACAGTAGAAGTGGCAATTCTAAGTTGTTATTCATGTAACGCGTAGTTGTGATATTACGTAATAAGTCAGTTTTGATATCCCTTGACAGCATTTTTTTTCTGTTGATGGTATAGAATAAGGATGTCACTGAGGCAATTCAGAAAGTTGCTGCTGCTTATGACTGCAAGATTGTCGAAGGAGTATTGAGTCATCAAATGAAACAATTTGTGATTGATGGAAACAAGGTTGTGCTAAGTGTCTCGGCCCCTGATACAAAAGTTGATGAAGCTGAGTTCGAGGAAAATGAGGTGTACTCCATTGACATTGTTACTAGTACTGGCGAAGGGAAGGTAAAAATTTTGCTTGATTTTATGGGTATCATTTATTTAGCTTTTTATTCAATGTTTATCGTCATCATGGAACTTATGTTGAACTGGCAGCCGAAATTGTTGGATGAGAAACAAACTACCATATATAAAAGAGCTGTTGACAAGAGTTATCACCTAAAGATGAAAGCATCTCGGTTCATATTTAGTGAGATAAGCCAGAAGTTTCCAATCATGCCGTTTTCTGCTAGGTCTCTTCTAATAGTTCATCTTTCACGTCTTAACTACTTACCTTTTTGTATTTTGAAGTGGAGATAATAAGTGGAATGAATGTATTACAGGGCTTTGGAGGAGAAGCGTGCTCGTTTAGGCCTTGTAGAATGTGTGAATCACGATCTTCTTCAGCCATATTCTGTACTTCATGAGAAGCCTGGTATGATGATGAAGTCTCTCTTAGTATTCTTTTCGTTTTAAAATTTTACTGGATTACGTGTAGTGTTATTGCTTTCTTCTGCTTCTGAAGTCTAACTGTGGCTTGTATTACAGGTGACCTGGTTGCACATATCAAGTTCACCGTTTTGCTGATGCCAAATGGCTCGGATAGAGTCACATCTCATGCTCTACAAGAATTGCAACCCACAAAAACGGTAGATGATGATGAGATCAAAGCCTGGTTAGCATTGGGAACGAAGACAAAAAAGAAGGGTGGAGGAAAGAAGAAGAAAGGTTAGTTTGAATCCAAATTGTTCACTCAAGAATTTCATTTAGATCATGATTTATATGCCTTTGAGAGGTTTCTACACCTTGCTCCTTAAATAATATGTTTCGAATTGTGTTTTTGCAGCAAAGAAAGAGGACAAAGCTGATGCTGCTGTGCCAGTGGATGATGCTTCAACAAATGGCGTATGAGAAAAAAACTTGTTTTTATTTTGTAAAATCCCGGAAAATTTTGGCCTCTTCCATCCCTGTACTTGGTTGTTTGAGACGTGAAATGTCGATCACAAGTTAAATCACTTCTAAATGTCTTGTACACTCTACTGGTATTTTGGGACTTTTTTTGTATCTGTTTCTGTTTTATGGATAGAAATAGATAATAATATATTCAGGGAATATGTCGCTATTATTCTGTTGGGTGGTGGGTGATTTTCTTTCACTCTAGTTTAGTTAGATATATGATTATCAATTATTGCAGTGATTACTCATAATATATACATTGCAGAAACACACCAGTTCAAATATATCTTTGCTTCTCGACTGTATCTTATCTTTGTGATGATCTGAAACTGAACTATCGTCAGCTTATATATATATAATATATATTGCCAACCAATTAGTGATTGCCTGAGAGAGAGATAATTATGTTAAATGCTGTTTATACATTTTTCTAATATTTTTTCTTTTACAAACGAAAATTGTCCGTCTAAAATTACTTATAAAACTAGGTAGGCCTGAAAGAGAGAATACAAAAAGAAAGTCAGATAAAAAATCTTTGCAGGTAGATGTTTCAAATGAAAATTGTACACCAATTAAGTTCCTTCACGTGCATTAATAGTCCTGCATATGCAGCAAACCTAACATGCCCCCCTCTCTCACCCTTATGCCCAAAAAACTATGCATGCAGGGGATTACTCTATTTACATTATGGTTGTGCTGGACATTGACAAAAATATCACCACATTTCCAATAAATGGAAAACGACACCAATCGAAATAAATGTGAACCAAACGAAACCAAAAAATTGTGTGAAGCGCCCATCTCACATAGTTAAAGAATCTTTAGTGTCACCTGTAAAACAAGATAAATCCAGATCAAAAATATTTGTAAACACACGGCACATGCAAAATTAGAAAAAACAAAAAACAAACAAAAAACACAATCAGCTTACCGTCGTCATTCACTTACGAAAGGTACACACATGAAAACCGCGGGACCCACAAAAATGGATTTCACTCTTAGTTTGCAAAGCCATATATTATATAGTCCTAAGACATGTTAAGTGCTTGTTTCAGTTGTGCAAATGCAGCCGGATGCATTTTAGACATAGCAGTATTAAACAAATCTCCATGGAGAGAAGCACATGTTTGGAGATTATCTCTCAATGAATTCTCCAGCGAAATTTGGTTTATTGGGTCAGAGAACTTGATCTGAAAATGAGAGAGATTAATTTCGTTAGTAAGAGATGATTGCACAGCTTCATAAGATAACCGAAAGAAATACCTGCTTCCTCCTGTACTCTTTGCCAGGCATATGCAGCTCACTGGGTTGCATATGGATGCTACTGTTATTAAGGCATAAGCAAATTTGATTGCCAAATCAGATACGTTCATTGTGTCAGAAAATCATGCAAGAATACAGAGTCTACATATATATATATATTCAACCTTGATTCGTCTTCAGCTAAGTCCTCATTTCCACCCAATATTACACTCGTGCATACACTGCAAAGTACAAGACAAACCAAAGCCACGTGAATAAAATACTCGTCTTAAGAAGAACAGCAAACAGATAAATCAAGAAAAAGTTCGTGAACCTTAGAATTTGATCGAGTTTATCAAGTACTTGAGGCAGTCTCATAGTTAGAATTATGGAAAGGGCTAAGCCAAATGTCTTTCTTTGTGTGGAAATCACATTGTCAACCTGCAACCCACAAGATGAAAATAAGGTGAATAACCAGGAACTGTGTAAAAATATACATTGACCGTGAGCCAGAGTAAGAAGTTTGCGTCATCAGTTCAAATGGTACTGAGAAATTTCATCCAGGTTAACTTCTCCAATTTCCTACAATCTTGTTGTTACAAAGCCCCATGTGTCATGTTTGAAATCGTAATAATGTAATTACAGAAACTTAACTAGAGTAGAGGGCAGTGCATCTACAAGCCAGTCATAGCTTATGTTTTGACAAATCAAAGGCGATCAAGCAAATGCATGTTAGAAGATGATAAAAAATGTTCCGGAAAAGCATAGATCACCCTCCAGTCATACTTCCGAAAATAATATATTAAACTTAAGCTAGTAACCTCAGTAGTTCATATCATTTTTTCTCTTAGCATACGCAGAGCAAGAACAAGTTATTATATCAATTGTCTTACCTTGTCGAGCCATACATCAACCAAGCAAAGAAGAATGTTTTCTTCATTTGAGAATCCAGCTTGTTGGAGATGTGTGAAGAATGATGGTTCTGATGTGAGTTGTGCAAGATAATTAGTATTCATGACCAAAATCCTTGCAAGTATGGCTGCTGAAGTTGTCTTTACAGCTGTCTTAGAGGGATCGTGATCATCTCCGCTCAGGCATATGACAATTAATTTCTAGCAAAATATTCAAATGTCATAAAACAATCCCAAGAAATCAGTTACAATAAAAATATACTACTATAGTAGTTACTATGGATACAGAAAAAAGGTTAAGTGATAAAATCAAGTTACCTGTATGACGGTGCTGATTAACTGGGGTACTTCAGTAGGGAAACACTGTATTGGAGAAGTAGAATAATGATAATTATTTCACACCCAATAAAAGAGCAATATAAATAAAAGTTATACTAGAGATTGTTTTTTTATTCCTTTGTAATCAGCAACTTCTGCATCAATTATATTTGTCTGATTTTTTTTATAAACTTCTAAGAGAGTGTAGTTTCTAAAAGGAAAACCTCATCAGAGCCTGGCAAGATCTATTTAAAAATACAGAGATAACAAGTGTCCATTTAAAATTTTATGTAAGAATTTTTTTTCCATTATATGCTATTGCTGTTAATTAAAGCTTTAATTTGCAGTGAACTACCTGAACTAAGACATCCACAAGTGGAAGAATTGAAAGCAACCCTCTGTCGTTGACATTACCAATGACCAAATCAAGAACTTTTGCAAGTGTCGATGCATGCATATTCAGGAACTCTAATCCTCCAAGAACAATGTAGCCTTCAATGATGCTAGCAGCCACCTACGTATGAAGTTAGACTTCAAGACACTATTGTTGCAAAGTAGGAATATACCATCTAATAACATTCCGCATACCTTTAAGTGATCAAAACTTTTTTCCAAAATTGCGACCAGACATGGAAAATAACCCAACAGCTGAGGCGACATTGAGGTGGCATGAGAAAGAGTAGCTTCCCACAACTGCAAATAATGATACAGAAGAAACACTGATTTTCTGGTGCTAAAAAGATTGTCATGGAAATTGAAGTTGAATGCTTAAACTAAACTACTGACCTGCATACTATCTTCCAAAAGTTCATCAGGGCTATTTACATTAATCACACTTTGTAAGATGGGCAGCAGCATGTTGTAACAAATGGGTGACTGGTAACCTAGTGCAGCTACAAAGTTCTTAAGGGCTGCGAGAAGCTGAATCTGCAGAAGGCTTTCACCAGAAGATTCTTCCCATGCCTACGATGATATATTTAGTCAATATGAACAAACGTAATATGCCGCAGACTAGGAAAAGAGAGATGCTACTTCACCACAATGTCCACTTTCCTTCTATTGTCTGGAATAACACTTTGTGTGAAACATTTAATTGACTGTCAACTAGAAAATCTTCTAATTATCATGGTAACCCTTAACACATGCAAAAGAATTCCAAACCAGTTAAAGGGGATATTTCATGCACTGTAATTCCATACAGTACAACTTTCTTCTAAATCTGGTCCATGAGAAAATATATCATAGTTTGTCTCTTTAAGTAGACAAAACAACTCATTCCTCTTACTGTATCAGAAGAGCATGCCATTAGAAAAAAACTATGCAGGCGTAAACACAGTACCTTCTGGAAAAACTGCACCAGCTTATTTGCATAAGGAATAACTCCAGTGCTGCGTGCAATGAGAACAGAAATCGTATTCAATACTTGAACCTGTATATAGGATTTACATGAGATGTTAATGAATAACTTTTCAAGTTAAGGTTTAATGAACTGATGAGATAAAATAGAAATTGATGTTCGGACTGTAATCAGAGAATGATGGCAGAAAATGCATATTTCTGACAGCCTCAAAAGCGAATATCCTACATTGGATTTTTTCTTGCTACATTCGTATATCAGTTTAGAGGTATGGCTTTCAAGGTACTTATCAGAATTTTTATAAGCTCATTCAGATACAGCTACTACTTCATAGCTACAATAGAAAATGTGATGAAAAACCAGAGGCTGTAACATACTTTTGAATCGAACTCTTGGACTTCTTCCACCAGTTTAAAACATGAGTTCCAACATATGGGAAGAAGATCAGAGAAGTCTTGCTCGGAGAAATTTGCATCTTCAATATGGTAATATAGAGATCGTGCTGCCGCCAGCTGAAATGACGAATAATCAATAATTATGCAACAAAAAATTCAAAAACAATTTAAATATAAATGCATCATACCCTAACGCACAAGTCTTCCTCCTGAAGCAATTTTATTAAAGCACAATATACCGGTCGTCTGGTATCATCTTTAATCTGTACAAAAAGCGAAAATCAGGGACATATTGCCAAGAACTAGGTATGCACAGAGGAATGAATACTTAATCAGACCATCCAACAACTCAGCTATATTCCAAAATCAAAAGCATACTCGATCAGCCTAGACAGCAAAATTGCGAAGAGAAAGATTAAACTAAAAATCAGACCTACAAATATTTATCTTCTGTTACCAGACTTGTTCAAATGAACACTTCTAGCTGTGATTACTTTCACAAGCAGAAGAAACCAACAATACACAAAGATGAACTACAAGATATTCCAATGGTAAGTTAATGAAATATACAAACAGCTCGGAGAGTAAATTACCTCTGAAACCCATTGCCCCAATATCAATGCAACTTTTCTATGGATGATCCGCATGTTAGGATGATCATTTGTGAGTTCAATCGATAACGCTCCATTGAACCTATATAAGAGAGTCACATAATTCTCATTATAAACTCATCCCCCCAAAAAAGAGGGAATTGGAAAAGAAGGTTTTGAATACATGGACTACAGAATTCTGATCCATCAATATCAAAACTATTGGGACATTTACACTAAAAGAAAAAAAAATCAAGAAAAAATAACAGAAGTATGCTGTAGGCCAGTGCATCAGCAAGGCTAGGCATATCTAAAACCAACATGCCAATGCATCAACCAGGCTAGGAATGTCAATAACAAAAGTGAGAAAAGTACTCAAAATTCTTCCAAACAACATGGCGTAATTTGGACACCTGAAACTAATTTGTTCCAAGTTGGCTAGGAAAATGTCTTACCAGTCCTTAAAACTCAGATAATTAGAGAGTTCGTAATAGACACAAGCAGCAGCACCATATGCAGCGTCTTTGAGAAGCAACTGTGGACTAATTTCACTAACAGAAGAAGGACAGCCATTCATTGCCTCTTGAAGAATTGAAACCACAACTGGACCTAGAAGCTATGTTAATGATAACCATCAGGACAAGCTACATCTGTCATATACAAAAAGCAATACAGAAAAGTGGAAATTTACACATAAGCGTCAAAGCGACCTACTTGGCTGTGATTTTCAAACAAGACAATGTATAGTGCTTCAGCGCATGGCCTTAATTTTTCCGACCACAACACAGCATCCTGCTCATGATGAAAAGACTCAGGATTCTGGTACCATTCTTCGACATCACTTGTTGTCAAAACAAAATACCTGCTTAAGAAGGATAGCAATGAGAGATATACAGAGACTAAAACCCAGTCAAAACGTAAGAATCAATTCTAATAATTTGTAAAAACCAGCAACGCAACAGACCCATGAGAATCGCTACAGACTACTCCAGAAGTTCTTTCACAGAGTCAATCAATCAAGACTTATTCATATAATATCAGAAGTTCGGAGAAAATACAAGCATCTCTGACAGAAGTTTCAGGTTGACATTGTAATTCATATAATCACCATAAATACTTGTTTGACAATGTTAGAAGTTCAATTTATCCCACATCTCCAATTTGTTGGGCTCTTACAAAGTATATTGGAATGGGCCCCCTCTGTCTTTGAACTATAGCTTTTGGAGATAAGTTCTAAGAGGCCCATTGATCATGATATCAGGCCTATAGCAGGTTTGCAGGAGACAGTAGGTTTGGATCAGACCCACATTTGTTGACATACTGCACTTAACGCTTAACGGAGGGTGATAGAAGTTGAATTTTTCCACATCATCAATTTGTCGGGCTCTAACAAATATATGTTGAAATGGGGACTCTCGCTCTTAGAACTAGCTTTTTTAGATGAGTTCTCCAAAATTCTACCCAGATCCGTTTATCAAAGAATATTTGAACTTCTAATGACATATAGAGGAATCCAACGAAACACACATAGAAACTACAAAGAAAAAAGACAAAGTTCAAATTACAGAAACATTTATTGTAATACACATTTGCGGGCTAGGAGATACGAGAAGCATCTAGACTGTTCGTGTATGCATAGTGGTCAGAGTCATAGATCCCCTGAATCATATGTCAGCCTGGGCATAAAATTTATAATTCTTCTCAGTTTAGTGGAACAAATTACAGTATTTAAAACATCTTCAGGCCAGTAAATGTAGTTGCATAGTTCTAACAAAAGCTATTGGAACATTGTCTACGAGATATTCTAAATGCCAAAAGGATTCAAAAGGGAGAGATTGACGGGATGGGGTGAGAGTTGTAACGAACAAAAGTTTCATTTATCAGATACAGCAGGTAGAAGACTCAAACGTTGACCTACATCAATACATTTTACGAATGAGAAAAGTACACACAGTCTAGATGACTTCAGCCTTACCTCCTTATCAATATATTACACAACAGCACCACACGCTCGTTAGGCAGCAGAGCAGCCAAGACGCTAGCAACAGCACTACATACATTTTTCTTCATCACCTGAAAGGTAACTCGGTTGTCATCCGTAACACGGCCAGTCAAGGATGGCCTGTATTCTTTACATTCTAGGACAGCCTTCATCAATGACATACACTGGATCAAGAAGTCTTCAAATGACAAAACATCTGGCTCGGGATTTGTGATTTTATTTAAGCAAAAGTCAACAACAGGCCAAAGAACACTTTGGTCACCAAATGAATAAGGATGCCTGTGCTGAATTACTATTAATATTTTCAGTGATTTAGTGCATGCCTTCTTCAGGAAATCCCAAAATTTAGGATGTTTCTCTTGAAAACATGAATCTGCATTAATTGTCAATCAGAATATGTTTATTAGTCCACATATGTACACACCCAGAAACCTGTACAGAGAAAATAAAAACTAACTCTCTCTCTCAATTAAGCCAACTTAGAAATCAGATGGTACATGAAAAATCACAATTTCCATACAAACAGTAAGGAAGGTGAACTGCTCATAGAAAATATTTTTTGGAATAATAAATTCAAAACTTTTAAGAAATAAGAAGAGACGACTTACAGTGAGGCAGAAACGACTGGACAGCATTCAACATAACCGGACAGACCTTCTTAACAGGTTGCACCTCCTAAAAACCAAAATAACTTCAGTAATGCCATTACTTCATAACAATTGTCGGATACAAATTCTGCAGCATATGTTTAGAACCAAAAATAATAATAATTACCTGCATAGACTTTGCATCACTTGGGAAACCAGAAACTATCAGTTCACGTATAATCTTTGAACACAGAAACCATCTTTCACAGGTTAAGTAAACATCATCATAATGCAACTCAGAAGCATTTTGTGCAAGCGCCGAAAAGGCATGCAATATATTTTGCACATCAGTCTGCCAAAGGTGCCAGCTGTATTCAAAGAATTGAGATGCAATCTGCCAAATGAGCAAGCATGAACACATCCAGTTAAGAAGAAAATTAATTCTTCAGTATAGATAGAAATCAGCAGCACAAATGAAAGCAGCAACTTGTTATGGACTCCAAACAAGACAGATCCTAGCATCAATCATAATCAAGAGTGATAACCAAACAAATGCATAAACAACCCACATAAAAACAAATAAATAAACAAACCACACAGAGTTTGAAAAGTAAATGTAACTATACGAAAAGCCTTAATAATCACAGGTCTTTCTTTTTCTGCACAATCTTTTTGCATTTAGTAAAGGAGATCTCAATTTCCTAATTCTGTATTTAAAGCTAGCTGATAATATGAGAAGGAATATGCACAAATACTTGCAGATAAGTTGAGATAAATGATAATGTGCACCTCAGAATAAGTCCTCTGGTCAGAAGTAAGACGTTTGGTTGACAACTCTTTTAATGTCCGGAAAAGAATCAAGAATATCCTATGGGAAGTTAATACATCAGCTGACTGAAGCTGTTGTGCTAACACGGAAATCAAATCTGACCTGTATCCAGAAAATGATTCAGTATGCCTAATACATAATGGCGATAAATAAAAGACAGAAGAGAAGACAAATAACTTCATGCATGCTGTGCTACTATAACTGTTAAATAAGACTCTTTGCGCCATGTTGAAAGACTCAAATCATAAAACACACGTAAGAGAAAATTAACTGCCTCAACAGAAAAAAATATCCTGGATTATAACTTCCATGAGGTTGGTGCTAATTCCAACTATATAACACCATATTCCTCGAGGATAGCTTAGTGAAATATTTTAAGGGCATATGAAACTGATCCACTGGTCCTGAATTGCAACTTACCAGACCCTCAAGAAGAACCTAGCACTCCTGTTCAAATAAGTTAACCTCTCTAAACTAGTGAGACTTCTCTCAGAATCCAAAGATGACAACTAAATATTAACAGTGGGAATACAAAGACATCACATGCCATAAGAAAATCATCACCCAGTCAACTGACCCAGCTTAGAAGAAGGCATATCAACATTAGAATCGATATAGGCATCACATTAGAATCGATATAGGCATAATTTTACACTATAACTCTTTCCAATAAATTATGCTTAGATAAAGTAGAGAAGCATACCACTCCCTTGGGTAGTCAATACGAGCAATTTTCGAGATCACCACAGCCAATGTAAGAGAAATCTGTACCGTAACCAATATGGCAAAAAATAAAACTTAGATGGATATTGTTAGCCAATAGATTCCAAAATATGCTTATGCAGATGACATCAACTGAAAAATCCACAAAAATAGACATGCCGTTGTCCTTAGATGGACTAAAAAGAGTAACTAGACTCAGATAGGATGACTCAGTTATTAGTTCCATGGAACTCTGTCCAAGCAGACTAACTTTCAAGTGATCCACATGCATATATATGCATTACGTCATTACCTGATAATTTTCTTCTCTTAAGTGTGACAATAACTTTTGCCGTAAGTGCACTTTTTCTTCACTGCTAATTCCACTGCAAAGGCATAACATAATCAGATCTAGCACTACATCTAAATATCTGGTCATGCCAATTAAAGATGAAAGGATTACATAAAGAAGCGTTAAGAGGGGATATATAGTAGTCAACATTTTATCACAATCTTTCAGGCAACACTTAAGTAAGGACGGATAAAATTCTGGCATGCAGTTATAAGTGTTTAGACACTCTTTCGTGATCAAAGCTAGTAATATACTAATATTTCTCCAGGTCCCATCCGTTGGTGTATTTTTCTCATTAAGATGTAATTGCCACTAAGTCTCCTCGCTTGTATTCCAGGCTCCAACATTTCAACTGGATAATGGTGTAGTCTACTGATAGCCACCTAGTCAGTAGAAAGGCCATCCAAAGCAGAACGAGGAGAAGGATTTAAGCTGTGTACCATACAATTATGGAACACCCTCGGTTTATTCTCCTTTCTGTCAATCTTACACCTTGAATAAGGTAGCAATACAAAGTTCTTCAAGTAATCTTTTGGTTTATACTGTTGGAAATTAATGTACCATATTTTAACTTCAAGCAAAAATGATAAATGTAGTTGATCAACTACTATAAATTTCAATATCTGCACGAGATTCCTTAATTCTGGATATAATGAATGGAGACGACCGCATGCTCGTACTATGCTGACACCAAAAACCCAAACGATTGAAACACTACTGTTTTAGGAACGCAACAACAAAATGTTATTATGTAAACCCATCAATCCCTTCACATTCAACACCAAAAACCATCAAGAAGAATCACATAATGCTTCTCATTAGTGTGCGACGAAAATAGTGAAACAAAGCACGAAGAGCTTCTATCCTACGGTACAAGAATAAAAACCAAAAAGCTCAAAAGAATGAGGAAGTCACCAACCTTGAATCACGCCTATTCCTCCAATACCTACTGATGCTGTTCTTAAAATAAACCGACGCCATTAATCTCACATCGGTCTGCAACGCTAGATCTTTGGCTGTTATCACTTCCTGATACGTACAAGTAAACCCTTGTTAAACAAGTCCAAATTGTTTCACGCTCAAATAACACAATAAAATTAACATGGACATAAACGCAAACACTTAATTAATTACCATAAGAGAAGAGCAAAAACCAGGCCTGCTCTCGTATTCCGCAAGAGCATCTTCCGCTGGCTTCCGCACATTCAAATCGCTGCTCAACGAATTAGCGAGCAGTGTGTATATCGCCGGCAAGTCCGAAACTGAGAGCGCCATTTATTTTATTGAAGAATCTAAAAAAAATAATATATATATGTGGCAAACCGTATCTCGGAACACAGTTCCGTCGATCAAACAAATGAAGAGTGCCTCGGATCGTTTGTGTTGACTAAAAAAATTGTAATATCTGTCGCCGTATTTGAAGGTGAAGGACAATTAAGCGTTTGCGGCATTCAATTTTGGGGGGCCGCGGGTTTGATGAGTTCGTGGCGGAGCCGTGGGGGTTATACGGTTGCGGGTGAGGGTTTGGCGGTGGTGGAGCGGAGAAAGGGTAAAATGCAGTTCCGGCTGAGTTTCTGAGTTGGGAGAAGTTGTGCGGTAATCATTGTCAGTGGCTTCTCCTCCTGCTGAGAGAATTTATACCAATGTCACATTTTGTGAGTATACAATTCATTTTTGTTGCTATTTTTTTCATCCGATTTCAGAACAAATAGGAAAGAAAAAGGATAAAATGTGACTCTTAAATTGTTGAATTATGTCCCCTTTTAATTTTTTATTCTCTGATAAAATATATAAGTATCGATTATATAGGCATTAAATCTTGGATTAATTAGAGGCTATTATCGACATTTAAATAAATGTTTGTGTAATGTCATGTATGTAAGGGTTTTCGCTCGTAAATTTCTCTTGGGTCGTCTGACTAGTCTTATAGGTATACTTACTTACATTACACCTTCTTTTCAATTTTCGCTTGTAGTTAGCTCCCTAAAATATATGAAACGTTGGAACGTCCATCACTTTATATTATTTTTTACAATTACATTTCTTTTCCACTTAAAAAGTTGATACTCTCGTAAAGGGGTGTGTTCCAATGGACACGTTTGCGGTACATATTTATTTATTTCCCATAAATATTTCTCAATATTGTTTGTTTCACCAAAGAACGTTTTCAAAAAATGTGTTCCTGCGCGCGTTTTCGGACAACAATTTTACATTCAAAATCACGGTAAATCACAACGTTCTGAGTTCATGTTGCAGTTCAGATAATAGTGTACAGCAAATAAATATTGTATTAAAAGCATAGTTTTGCATAAATCATGTAATTAGATAGTGAATATGCGAATTGAATTAAAATAATGGAAATGGACACATGGCCCAATTTCATACCGAATATAAACGGGTTGAGCCCATTGGGTCGATAGAACAGAAATCCTCTATAAATTCCAATACCAACTTGGGCTTTTTTTTATATATAATTGATACAAACTTGGGCTTGGTGATAAAAAAGGGAAGGGCAATGAAGTAATATTTATTAATAAATTAGATAATATTATACAAAAAATTTGATAAATATTTCGTCATATACATGTTTTATTAAAATATTGGACATTTACATATTTCGAGTAACATAGTTAAGAGTAATTAATTTGATTGATTTTGTTTTATATAAAAAAAATTGATTTAATTTTGCATGCAAATAATTGTACCACGCAATAGCATAAGGAATTCTTAAATCTCATTGGCTGAAAACTCGTGGAGCCCCCTAAAAGCGCCACGTCAGACCAAACATGGAATATTCCCGATTTTTCCCGTCCCCCGCGAAATATATTAATGAGAAAGAAAGAAACCCCTCCCCCAACACGAAACTCTCAAATTTGAAACCACAACGAAGCAAAACCACCATTGTTGCAGGAATTTCGAGTAATTATAGGAAAAAACATGACGAATCGGCCAGTGTTGCGTCTAATAGTTGTCGGATTAATGTTTCTTATCGTCGTAGAATCCAAAAAAGTCGACCCATATAAGGTAAACCCCTCACCCACCTTCAATTTTTTTTTTTTTTTTTTGCGGAATGGAGTTATTTAGTGTTTATTATTTTAAGAGATTAATTTTAATTCACCAGGATCAGTTCTGGTTATGATTTATTCATTTTTTTTCCCTTTTCAACTGGTGTGAAAATTAATTTTGTAACATTGAATGCCTGAGGTATTTTCCTTTCTGAAATTAAAATTGAGGTATAAAAAGCATAATGTGTTTCGCCTTTTCGATTTGATTGGAAGAGTAAGGCACTGTGATTTTGAAGAAATACCTTGTGATACTGTTTGAATAGAGTATTAATACGACACGTGATTAAGCACGTGTTTTGATGTTGTTTAGAGGTGAATGCAATAAGAAACAATATGCCATTTGGGCTGGATAGTGCTGAACAGTACCATTTATCTTGAAGGTCTTATGTTGGAGAATATGTATTCTGAATATTGAGTTTTTTTGGGTGGCGATGAAGAACAATTTTTTTAGATAAATATCATGTTATTGCACACATAAGGTTGCATTGTGTAGAGGGGCAAACCGTCATGCTTTCTTGTAGAAGTTGATGTTCCGTAGGCTGATAAGGAAGTTATTTTCATGTTTTAATATATAATTTTATTATTTGAGAAGAACAAAATTAGAACACGATCTTAGCTATACTTAGTTTGATTTGTGAAAACAGGGGAGCCTAGTTTTTGGTTGCGTACATTTTTAATTGATGCTGCTGGTTTTAGTTAATGGGCATTAGTTACAGATTATTGTTTAGCTTCTTACAAGTATCTCCTTTCTCAGGTACTTGGGGTGGATAAAAGTGCGAGTCAACGTGAAATTCAAAAGGCCTTTCACAAGTACGTTTGCGTTGTGCTAGAATGAGACTCCCGTTCATTTGTATATCGACTTGGAATTGACTTTTATTGATGTTTTCTGCAGGCTGTCGCTCCAGTATCATCCTGACAAGAACAAAAATAAGGGTGCGCAAGAAAAATTTGCAGAGATCAATAACGGTAAAAAGATAAATTTCTTCTTGTTCCTTTACTCTTAGTGAGAAAGAGAAATGGTTCTTCTTGAACCTTGTTTTCTAGTTTCCTTTATCCCCTGTGACGAATGAAAGACCGTCTTTGTTTTTTTATTCATTCTGTTCTTTTGATGTTTCCTTTTGTCTTTGGCGTTTTAGGCTCTTGGTGTATCCTATTTTTCTAGTAGTGCTAAATTCTAATATATGCTATTTGTGATCAGCATACGACATCTTATCAGACGAACAGAAGAGGAAGAACTACGATCTATACGGGGATGAAACAGGTACTCCTGGATATTCCGATTTCACTAGTGGTGGACCAGGACACAGTGGATTTAATTTCAGGCCAGGTGGATGGGAAAACATGGGTGGACAACAAGGTTCAAAATCATTCTCATTTTCTTTTGGAGGACCTAGTTCAGGCAAGCCAAGTTCGTCTGGTTTTGGCTTTAATGACATATTCTCTAGTATTTTTGGCGGTGGTATGGGAGGAGGAGGTAGTCAGTTTGGTGGTTTCAGTAGCTCGAGTGGCTCCCAGCATGGGACTGGGCGCTCCGCTAAGAGCATGCAATCTGTGAATGCACAATTTTATAGGAAAGAAATAGTCGATAATGGGATGACGTGGCTTTTATTCGTGTACACTTCGAATCTCAAAGGGATCCAACATTATGAATCTCTGGTAGATGAAGTTGCCACCTCCTTTCAAGGAGCGTTGAAGGTACTTTGTCGTTTAAATTGTCTTGTATATTTCTCCCGTATATACATAGTCTGAGCAATATTAAGATCTATGTGTCTTTTCTCTACAGATTGGAAGCATAAATTGTGAATCTGATGCATCCTTCTGCATGGAGCTTAGTGTATACCCTCGCAGAGAACCAAAGATCTTTGTTTATTCATATACATCTAGTGACAAAGGTTCATTAACGGAGTATGATGGCAATTTGGATGTAAAATCCCTTAAAAGTTTTTGTCAAGACCACTTGCCCAGATTTTCGAGTCGTGTCAACTTGGAAAATTGGAATGCTGCTTCTGAGTTTGGAAGGATACCCAAAGTGTTGCTTCTGTCTACAAAGAAAAGCACTCCTGTTATTTGGCGGGCACTTAGTGGATTATATCGTAAGCGCTTTGTGTTCTACAATGCAGAGGTACTTCAATTTTTTCTCGGTGCATAATAGATACCATTTTGTCTCATTTTTGTTCACTTCTTGAAATGGTTAAATGATATGATTGTTTTGGAAATTACAGGTGCGTGACGTTTCAGATCCATCTGTGAGAAAATTAGGCGTTGACTCACTTCCAGCTGTCGTTGGTTGGCTGTCGAATGGGGAGAAGCAAATTCTCAAATCTGGGATATCTGTAAAAGATTTGAAATCTGCAGTTCAAGAGATTAGCAGCTTGCTCGACAAATTCGACAAGAAGAATAAGAAGGCAGCTTCTGGTAAGAGGGACAACACCGAAACGGTAGAGGAAAGCATACCCTTGCTTACATCATCGAATTTTCACGACATATGCAGCGAGAAAGTTCCTGTCTGCTTTATTGGTGTCTCCAGGTCAGCGTCAAATAGGGACAAGCTGCAAAAGATACTGCAGTCTGTAAGTAACCTTCATTCCGTGTTAATACAAACATTTGAATTTCTTAGAAAGCAAAAGTAAAGTGATTTTCGATTTTCAATTTTCAATTTTCAATTTTCGATTATAGGTGTCTCAGAAATCATTTTCTAGACGGCAAAGTTTTACATCCGGTTCGAGGGATTCGGTTTCGTACGCACTTTTAGACGCTTCAAAACAGCAATCATTTTTAAACGCCCTCAACAAATCAGGGTTAAAATCGGCAGAAAAATTATTGGTGGCCTATAAGCCAAAGAGAGGAACATACGCAACTTCTGAAGGTGAAGTAACCGAAGAAACGGCTGAGGGGTTTATAAGTTCGGTACTGAACGGAGACGTACATTTTTCCAAAGCAAGATGGAAGCCTACCGTAAACTAATTAACACCTAAATTTATCTTATACTATTCTTCTCAATCACATGCTCAGAAGAAGGAAGTCTCCATGTACATATGTGATTAACTGGTAATCATTTATATATATTTTTTGTTTCTTATCTTACCCTATTCGAGGCTGTAATTTATCTCCAGATTGATGGAGATTTTTTTTACCACTGTAAAATGTGGTACTGAAGAGTGCTAAACTTTTACCAGGGGCAATCTTGTAAAGAAAACTAGGATTTTTTTTACTGTATCATATTGTATGTACACTTTAGGCCCATGGTACTTAATTTACCCGTTACTGTTAGGTTTTCGGGTTTTCGGGTTTTTATATTCGGCTTACTGTTTCCAATTATGCAGTGAAAATCATGTTCTAATTAGTTACAGAGTTATGTATGAAAATATCTACACAATTAACTATAGTATAAAATGAATAATGCATGAAAAATCCAGTGAGAGCTAACTACCACGGCTACCTCACTGGGAATAGAGCCAATAGTTGATGGAGATTCGCCTGTCAATTATTTAGAACAGATAATTAAAATATAAACCATGCCCATAAACAATAAAAACAAAAATATATTAAAAAAAGGGCATGCCATATGCAAGGAGTTGGTACTCAGATTATTTTACTAATCTAGAGAAACTATATATTATATAACCATGCGTTTGGGTAGATATTTTGCAGGATATTTGAGCTCCAATCGGATGAGGACACGTGCAGTACGTGGATGCATGAGATTTTGGGGCAAGTGGTTTTGCAAATAGGCAGTTTTCCCAGTTGCCTTTATAAGTTTCCATATGTTGTTGGTTTTGAATCAGTCTGGCTGGCTGGCTGGCTATTCATTAGCAAAACAAGCAGCTCTCGCGTGACCACCTCACCACTATTACTGCAACTTGTGAATGCAAAATTGCACTAGTCCACTTTACTAAAGACCAAATAATACCTCATTTGACCCTATCATGCATTCCACATCATCATCATCAAAGCCTCCGATATTCTTGGAAATATTTGCTACACATTATTAATTTCAAATTGTCACATTTTGCATGTACATTTCTCCATATATATTTTCAATGATTAATTACAAAAAAATAAAAATATACACGGAGAAATAAAATTCTGCTTCAACTCTGGACATGTACAATTTCGTCCCTTGAAAATTGCAATATTATTAATTACCTCCCCCATAAAAAGACAAAGAACAAATATAAAAACAAAGCAAAATCAAAAGCAAAAACAAATTAGCGAACATTTATTCTAATCCACCTTCCCAAACAACAACAGTCCACCTTGGAATTAAAAAAGAAAAGGAAAAAAGAAAAACAGTCCACCGCCTTTGAAATTATTCCACTGAATTCAACCCGAATCCGCCCCCCGTTTTACCTTCTTCTTTTCAGTTTCACCCCCACCCCCCACCCCCACTATAAATAATCCCACACATTTCCTCACTTCTCACCATTCTAATTTCTACATATCTATTCCTCCAATTTACTATTCTAAAATATCACCAATTTTACTGTTTTTTCTGCTTCGTCGTTTTCTCACGCAACAATGGACACGAAGATAGGCTCGTTGGACACTTGTGCGTCCCCCACGTGTACCGAAGTCGGCAGCCTCCCTTCCAATGGCGCCGTTTCCACCATCCAGTGCTCCGCCGTGGCGATCAACTCCGCCGAGGCCACTCTCGGCCGCCACCTGGCCCGCCGCCTAGTGCAGATCGGCGTCAGCGACGTCTTCTCCGTCCCCGGTGACTTCAACTTGACGCTTCTCGACCACCTCATTGCCGAGCCGGGGCTCAACTTGATCGGCTGCTGCAACGAGCTCAACGCCGGCTACGCCGCCGACGGTTACGCCAGGTCTCGAGGTGTCGGCGCATGCGTCGTCACGTTCACTGTCGGTGGTTTGAGTGTCATCAACGCGATCGCCGGCGCCTACAGCGAGAATCTTCCGGTGATCTGTATTGTCGGAGGTCCGAATTCGAACGACTACGGTACGAACCGGATCCTGCACCACACTATCGGGTTACCCGATTTCAGCCAGGAGCTACGCTGCTTCCAGACCGTCACTTGCTATCAGGTATACTGTTCGTGCATTTCATTAATTTTTGGTACTTTAGGTATCGCAAAAATTATGAACAGCTTCACCAAAATTAATTAATTCGAATTTTGTTTTCCTATTTGTTTTCGTTGATTTTAGGCGGTGGTGAATAACTTGGAGGATGCACATGAATTGATAGATACAGCGATTTCAACAGCGTTAAAAGAGAGTAAACCAGTGTACATTAGCATCGGCTGTAATTTGCCGGCGATTCCGCATCCAACTTTTAGTCGTGAGCCTGTCCCCTTTGCCCTCTCCCCAAAGTAAATCTTCATTTTGATTCGCTAATTCATTGATTTCTGAAGGATTTTTTTTATCTCTCGTGTGTTGTTTCCTTAGAAAATAATTCATTTCCTCTGTTTTATAGATTGACCAATAAAATGGGCCTGGAAGCAGCAGTGGAGGCAACAGTCGAGTTCCTGAACAAGGCCGTGAAACCAGTGTTGGTCGGAGGACCGAAACTGCGTGTTGCAAAAGCGTGCAATGCCTTTGTCGAACTGGCCGATGCTTGTGGCTATGCACTTGCAGTTATGCCATCAGCCAAGGGACTAGTCCCCGAGCACCACCCCCGTTTCATAGGTACCTACTGGGGGGCTGTAAGCACTGCCTTCTGTGCAGAAATTGTGGAATCTGCTGATGCTTATCTCTTTGCTGGACCCATATTCAACGACTATAGCTCGGTTGGGTACTCTCTGCTTCTCAAGAAAGAGAAGGCCATTATCGTGCAGCCTGATCGTGTGATTATTGGCAATGGGCCGGCTTTTGGATGTATTCTCATGAAGGATTTCTTAACTGCTCTTGCGAAACGGCTCAATCGTAATACAACTGCTTACGAGAATTATCATAGGATTTATGTTCCTGAAGGGCATCCTCTGAAAAGCGAGCCGAAAGAGGCGTTGAGGGTGAATGTTCTGTTTCAGCACATTCAGAAGATGTTGTCTGCTGAGACAGCTGTCATCGCCGAGACTGGAGACTCGTGGTTTAATTGCCAGAAGCTGAAATTGCCACAGGGATGCGGGTGAGCGGGTTCTATTTCGTTCTTAGTTTTCACATGGACCTCGTAATATTTGCTCTGTTATGTTCTTTTTTGGTTATAAACGGGAGTTGCGTTGTTATAGGTATGAGTTCCAGATGCAATATGGATCAATTGGTTGGTCAGTTGGTGCAACTCTGGGTTATGCACAGGCTGTACCAGAGAAGCGAGTGATTGCTTGCATTGGAGACGGCAGCTTTCAGGTAGTATATCCTTCGTTTGCTCGAGCCAAAATAAGCCTTATAATTTGTTCTTTTTAAGGATAGAAAGCTTTCTTTAATGGCTGCAGGTTACAGTTCAAGATGTGTCGACTATGCTTCGATGTGGGCAGAAAACTATCATCTTCTTGATAAACAACTGTGGTTACACGATCGAGGTGGAGATTCACGATGGGCCTTACAACGTGATCAAGAACTGGAACTATACTGCATTGGTTGATGCAATTCATAACGGTGAAGGCAATTGCTGGACCACTAAGGTTAATATAATTTCGACTGCTTTTTTAATTAGTTAAAAATTTGCTCCGATTTTAACTCTTGTACGATTTCTTTAGGTCCGATGTGAAGAAGAGCTTATCGAAGCAATCGAGACTGCTACAGGAGCCAAGAAAGACTGCTTGTGTTTCATAGAAGTGATTGTTCACAAAGACGACACGAGCAAAGAACTGCTTGAATGGGGATCCAGGGTTTCTGCTGCTAACGGCCGTCCACCAAACCCTCAGTAGATTCTGTTAAATATGCTGAAAGTGTATTAAAATTTGTCCCATTAAAACTTGTTTGGTAATAAGCTGTATTTCCTTCAAACAGTGTTTCATTAATTAGAGAGTTTCTTGTGTTTGAAAAAAATATTTTGTCACACTTTAATTTTTGGCATTAGCGGTAACAATAATTGGTCGTCCGTGGAAATCCTCGTGTTGCACTTAAGTTAAAAAAAAGCTATGTCGGAAAGTTTGTCCTGCTTAATTTGGATTTATAATTTTACTTGAGATGTGTGGTGTGAGATTCATGTGATCAGTTTTTGTCGTGTCTAGAAAAACATGTCCACGTCACTACTTGGTGAGATATTTTTGGTGGTTATGTAAGCAACAGATATTTTGAGATGTTTCTAGAATCTCACCAAATGGTGAGTAGTGCCGACATCTTACAAAAACTACATATTTTCGCAAATCAAAATAAAGAGAACACGAAAGATTATTATGTACATCGTAAACACGTAAAATTACTAACGACAAGTTATCAAGCATTACCTTCGGAGGTAAAAAGTCGACCGTTTTGGAGTAGATCAGCAGGAAACGGGGCTTTACAAGATCTAACATGTGATTTGAGACGAGGTAAGTTGGGATGTGCACTTCGACACCTATTGCACCGTAACTCCATTGAACGGAAGTCGTCAGTTATCAATGTAACACTTCCAGTATCTTCTAGTTCCTTTATCACATTGACTGAATCCAAGAAGAACCGAGTATTAAACGAGTTCCAATGCTTCTTATGCTTCAGATGATTCGAGTCAAAATCCTGGCTAATCACGTGAAGGTGCAGTTGTTTCATTGAAGGCACCTGAAAGAAGATCAGAATTTACTTCTCGTGCCAAAAAGATCGAATGTTACAAACACATAACTTGCAAATTCTATTTACGGAAAATAAACACTTGTACATATTTCTTGCAAAGAATTTAGTTAATAACACCACGTAGAGCATCGGGGATAAAAAGATAATCCAACAGCAGAAATTCGGATCAGAGTGGCAAATTTTGCTTTGCATTATTGGCTTGATGAAGAAAAACAATAATCATATAGCAAGCTATATTTTTCTTTCGAGAATAGTTTTGAAAAGGGCTAAGACGGTAAGAAATATCGAGACGATGAGGTTGGACCAGTAATTACCGAATGGTATCCAAGACGGAATGTCAATGATTTATTTTCATCGAGGGATTTTTCTACCCATTTCAAGCCAACGTCATGCATCGTCTTTAATAATGTGACGTGCTCTTTACAGACATCTGCAAGGCTGTCAAGACCATCAAGTCGTGCTATAACCAGGAAGTGCTTCTGTGCCTGCAGTAGGAAAAGTGAAAAATGTTTCAGGTAAATTTTCTCTTTCATCACATTATTCCTCTTCGCTCGTTTAAGAGAGAGAGAGAGACCTTAGGAAAAGCATCATTTATCACTACAACATCATCCGTCTTCTCAAGTACAATGTTCTCGTCCTTGGCAGGATCCATTGCAACATTGTAAAGAGCTTGAAACCACGTGGCCCAATGTTTGACACCATGTTTAAGGGACTGTTCAGATCCCTTTTGTTTTTTGTTACTGTCAGAAACATGAGCACCTTCCCTTTTGGCCTTCTGATCATCTTTTGCAGGAGTAACTATTCCTTGAGACTCCAGTATAGAAACAAATCCTTCAAATAGTGACGAGTAAGCTTCACGAAGTATCTTGCTTCCTTGAACGTAATCATCTTTCAGACAGTCGGGTCTCTGGGGGTTCATGTTTGGTCCGAGAACATGTATGACATGCGTTACACCTTCCTTTGCAAATAACGAGGAAGACGAAGGGAGTGGTACAACGACAGATTTTCCAGGACGAAGGCAATCGGCACTTTCGTTGGTTGCCATTTCTAGTTCAGGACCCGCAGCTTTAAAGATAGCAGCATTTACTCCTCCCCCTCCTGGCTTTAGACGCCTGCATAAAATTAAAATTTCATCATTAAACCCCAAAGGTAAAGGAAGAAGATAGACGATTAGCATTCCTCTTCATTATCTCAGGCTAAGATACAAACGAGCTGACGAGACAATCAAGTGTGTGATCCGCAAACTCACCAGTTGGCAGCATTAGCAATTACGTTGCAGTATAAACCTCCCTGAGAATGGAGTTGAGTTATGTCTCCAACAAATGTAAAGAACTTATTGCGGCCAATGTTCCTATGCGCAGCTTTAGCCTTAACCAGGGACAATATTTTTGATTCACGAGACAAATCTACCAGAATAAGTCGAGCTCTCCCAATCCTACTGACAAATTCCTCAACCTTTTCAACAATAATGTCAGATGCCTTCTCAAGATTGAATTGGAAGTCCGCGGTAGAAATAGATGGAAATGCTAATGTGGGAATATTGTCGACAGCAGCAGCACAACCTGAAGAATCTACTTTTTTAAGAAATTTCATAATCCCTAATTGAATAGTCGTATCTGTTTTATTATGTCCAAAACGACCCGAAGGAAGAGAATCTAACGGGCCCAAAGAAGCATACAGATAGATGGCTTCTTTGACATCTGTTTCATTCTCACAAAAGGTAATCCTGTTGAACCCTTCACTCAGTTTAGGAAGTTCTTTCTTTGGCAACATCTGATTCACAACTGCGGCAGCTTTTACGCCGTATAGGTTGCCTTCGTGTTCAGTGCGCTCTACCGAACGAGAAATACAAAGCTTGGTCGGAAGATTAAGAACCACAGCATGTATCTCCGTTTGTGCGCTACCAAGCTTCAGAAAGTCGGCCCGCTGCTCTCTATTAATGTTACATCTGTCTATAATTACATTTTTACCTTCTTTCAAAGCATTAGTTGCAGCTGACAGACACTGGATTTTCGTCCCAGCCTTACCTTTATTAATCGTATCCTGCATTTCAAGAAAGAAGCAAAAAAGAGTTACGAAACAACAAACCATACGTAATGACAAATAGTAAGCAAGCAACGAATTCCGCAATTGTATGGTCGACGTTCTTCGCATGGTGATAATACTCTGCTGACTTTCACCAGAAAGACATAAATCAAATAAGAGTAAGGTTTAATTTACACACCCCTTTAAAGAAAAACACAGATAAAATCCAAAGCTGACTGCGGCATTTCATCAAACACTTACAGCATGCCAATATTTACAGAACCAAAAAATGAAACATTTCAGAAAGAAATTGGAGTCTGTAACGCAAGTAGTAAACCTGGCAAACGCGAACCCACGGGCGGCGGCGATAAACTTTCACGACCTCGTCGCAGAATGTAGACTTTCCACTTCCGGGCAGTCCAACCAACACTAGTACAATTGCCTTGCCTTCTTTCTTCTCTTCTTCTTCACAACACGAAAAAAAATAAAAAAAAATCTCAAGTTTTGCACTACTATAATTCACAGAGTACAGTTGCTGAAAAGTAAGCGTATAAACCTGTAGACGGCGCTTTTCCTCGATCAATTTCCATGGACTCCATTCTGATCTCGGCCAAGGTCCAGCAAATCCGAATCCGCCCTTCCCACTTTCCAACTCGTGTTGATTTGATCGGACACAACTTCAATTTTGAAATCGGAATCGGAATTGGAATTGTAATTCCACTTTCAATTTCTTCTCTAAATCGGAATTGGAATTGGAACTAAAACGACGACGTACGCTTATGCTGGCCCAGCTAATTACAACTTCGAAAAAGCCCAAAACCAATTAAGGCCCATCTATTAAAACACAAAAGGATCCACTTATAAATAACACAGCAAACCCTAGGGTTTCATCACTTGTGTGAACTTTACTTTCAGAATCAAAAGGGAGGCGCGTTCTCAGTTTCAATTCACCCTTCACCATGAGAGCCAAGGTAAATAAAATCATCTCAATTTCTCCATTTCTGGTTTATTATAGCAATAATTTGTTGAATTTATCCACATTTACCTCGTTCTAATTTTTCAGTGGAAGAAGAAGCGTATGAGGCGGTTGAAGAGGAAGCGCCGAAAGATGAGGCAGAGATCCAAGTAGAGTTTGTTTTCAGCTACCAAATCTCCATCTCCGCATCAGAGTCTTTTTGTAGGCTTTTTTTTCCTTCTTTTTTCGTTTTTCTAATTGATGTTATTTTCTCATTCGTGAATTCTGATCTGTAACAGTGGTTTTTATTTTTTACTGTTTCGACACTGCTGCTGAATCAAACTATTTAATCGGATGAGATTTTTTTCGTATGAAATCATTTTTCCCAATTTATCTCCAATTTTGATTCTTTGAATTGTGAAATGCTGCTTTAGAATCTTTGATTATCTGTCAATTTATGTTTGGTTTCATGTTTGAATTGATATCTGGATTAGTTAAAACTCCGTTCATAATCTGATTAAATAGTTTAATTCCTTGCATTTTTATATGCTGATTTATAAACTTTGCTTATTGGTCAGTTTATGTTCTTTCAGTGACAATTAAGCTGAAATCTGCACTGGGTTTTTTTTACATTTAAATCTTAATTTTATTTGCAAAATCTTATATATGTATTTTTTTCGTGTGTTGCAAAATCTTATATATGTTCATTTAAAAAACACAATTAATGTTATTTGTTTTATTTTATAAAAAAATATATTTCTTTGTATGTTTGTGGACTGTGGTAACGAAAATGTTGCTTATTAGTTTATAGTTCAAATTCCCCCGACCTTGGAGGTATTGTGAAATTATAAAATTACAACTCGTACGGTTTTAAATTTACCTAGCGAAAGTGTGTTTTTTTGTAAAAATATATAGTTGATGGGCAATTATAATTATTTAAATTAGATGGGTGTTTTTGTAATATAATTGGGTAATTGTAATTATCCAAATTAGAGGGGTGTTTTTGTAATTTAAAATTATCTTAAGAGTGATGGCACTTTACCTTACAAAATCATTTTATCTTCTGATTTTACACTGTATTTTACTGTTTTATTTTATATTTTATTTATTTAGTTTTGGCAAATTTAGTCATTGCCATGGGCCTCTGTGTTAAATATGCCAATGAACATGAAAAAAATCAATCCTAAACAATAGGAGTAATTTATCGAATTTAGTCAATTGTAACTGCTAAAGAAAAATGTAGGAGACATAATAATATAATAAAGGGGTTATTTGACAAACACCTCCTTCAAATTTTATTTTTTCGATAAATCATTTATTTGTAAATGATACTTGACAATAAATCCAATGAGCCTAAAAAATCATATATTTTCTCACTAATTAATATAATTATTAATATTAAAAATACTGTAAATTAATGGCAAATCCCTCCCAGCAAAATCACGTTACCGAAAAATATCCCAATACTTCTCCCCCCAAATCACGATAGAAATCCACTCCGTCATTGCCCCCTTGTCCCTCGTTTTTAGAATTCGCCTCCAAACAATTCATATTTCTTCGATCCGTTAACACCAACATCGCTCATTAATGAAGTCTGTTCTTTAGTCGAAACTATTGTGGTAAATTACGCAAACATCTGGAGACGGATCAACGACAAAAATCCAAAAAGATAATTCTACAAACCCACTTTCTTTGAGGATTTTTGTAGTGTGGTTTTAGCATTATTGTAGAGTGGTTTTTGCAGAATGGTTTTGCAGAGGGGTTTTTGCATTGTGGTTTACTAGTATTAATCTTTTGTTGAATTCAAGTGTTTTGTTTTTTGTATATTGTGTACAAAATGTTTTGCAAATGTTGACTTGTATTGTGTAGTTTTTTATGTATGTGGTGGTATAAAAAAAAAGACGAATCCCAAAAAACATGCAAATTTGAATAGCACTTTGTATATTTCCGAAAACCACTCTGTATATTTCCGAAAACCACTCTGTATATCTGGAACACAGCCGTTTGCCACTTTGTAATTTGAAAAGTCGATCTACTGACTACTAACAACCACATAACAATGGAGGGGAAAAAACATGTGCATTCATATTAAAATTATTTACAACAGTGATCAAATCACGGTTAATATGAATTTATACAGTTTGTGTAAAAAGCCACAAAAACCGCTCCATATTTTCTTGAGACGCCTTTCCTACTCATGCAATCAGATCATAAATTCTTGTTGTAAAAATACCCATTACGTTGAAAACAGTTCTCTGTAATCAAGGGACGATAATCGTGGAATTATTTGAGGATGTGTTGTTAAGATATAAAAGGAAAATATATTATATCTTTTTCTTTTTTTCAACCCTAAAATATACGTTACTTTTAAATTGGGAGTATAATTATGATAATTTATTATTTTTTATTAATAAATGCTGAATTGAATTTATCTTAAAAAGTTGGATTTTTTTTTTTGAATTATTGTAATTCGACTTGTGTGATGGGGGAATTTTGTGAAATAATGTCTATAATAAATGTATGCGTGTAGAAATATATCACTCAGTCTTCTCTCAAGTTTTCTACATGAATACATTTCTATAATTTTGATTATGAGAGTAGTCAACACTGCTAAACTCAGGGTCTTCGTCTCCCAATAAGACAAAGACTCCTAAAGTCCACCGCCCAAGTTTTTCTTAAATAGCACAGTAGTTCTATTTCTCCATACTACTCAATAGAAAAAAATAAAAACAAATAAAAATTGTCTGGCATTTCTTACATCCTCTTAAGAATGAGAATCATCTTCTTTCTCGTTTTACTGTCAATATATAGTATAAATAATTTATCCTCTCCAGTATTCAGTCAGTGCCTTGAGGATCAAAAATCTCTGTTACTCGGGCTGAAGAGCAACTTGATATTCAATTCTTCTGCTTCAAACAAACTGGTGAAATGGAACCGGTCCACGGATTGCTGCAGTTGGAATGGAGTAGAATGTGATGCTGCAGGTCATGTGATCAGTCTACAACTCGATGACGAGACAATCTCTGGCGGAGTCGAGGATTCGGAGTATCTCTTCGGGCTAACTTATCTCGAAAGGCTAAATTTGGCATACAACAACTTCGGCGACATTCGTATTCCTAAGGGGATTCACAATCTTACACAGTTGACACACCTGAATTTGGCTCATGCTGGGTTTTCAGGACAAGTTCCTTTTGAGATTTTGGGATTGAGGAAGTTGACTAGTCTTGATCTTTCTTCTTTTTCTTGGGGCCATGAACCAATCAAGCTCGAGAATCCAGATTTGAAGATGCTTGTTCAGAATCTTACAGGGCTGAAAGAACTTTATCTCGACTCGATTGATATTTCGTCTCAGGGGAGCGAATGGTGCCAGGTTATATCTTCCTCTTTACCTGATTTAAGAATTTTGAGCTTGAGCGGTTGCTATTTATCGGGGCCGATAGATTCGTCCCTTGCCAAGCTTCGTTCTCTCTCAGTTCTTCGCCTTGATGGTAACAATCTATCTTCTTCGGTTCCTACCTTTTTTGCAAATTTCTCCAAACTGACAACCCTGAGTCTATCCTTTTGCTATTTAAATGGATCCTTCCCGGTAAAGATCTTTCAAATACCCTCTTTACAAAATCTTGATTTGTCATATAACAATTTGCTTGGTGGCACTTTACCTCAATTTCCTTTGAATGGATCTTTAAGGAATATTCTACTTCGTAGTACCAACTTTTCAGGTTCATTACCAGCTTCTATTGGAAACCTCGCGATGTTATCCACATTGGATCTGTATAATTCCAGTTTCAACGGGCCACTTCCACTCACAGTAGGAAATATTATCGAACTGGGCCATTTAGACATCTCTCTAAACAACCTCAGTGGTTCGATTCCTCTGTTTCACTTGTCCAAGAAACTGACCTACCTAAATGCTGCTCGTAATAGTCTTACCGGCTCACTTTCCTCTATGCATTTTCAAGGCCTTACAAATCTTTCGTCTATTGACTTAAGCTACAATTTACTTGGTGGCAACATTCCATCTAATTTGTTTACTCTCCCATCCTTGCAATCGCTCGACCTTTCTAACAATAAGTTTGGTGGTCTGATTCAAGAGGTTTCCAACCTATCATCCTCTCTGCTTGAAATAGATTTAAGCTCTAGTCATCTTTAAGGACTGATACCCAAGTTTTTCTCTCAACTTGATCGATTGACTGAACTCTTGCTTTCTTCAATTTTTTTCAACAGCACTGTGCAGCTGGAAATGTTTCCCCCCAGTTTATTAATTCTCGACTTATCCTTCAATAATTTGGCTATTGTTTCGGCTGATAGTAATTCCAGCTTGCCTCAGTTACCTCAGATCTACGATCTAAGATTAGCATCGTGCAAATTGAAAAAGTTTCCACAGCTATCCAGGGAATCAAAATTACTCAACTTGGATCTTTCATCCAATCAGTTAAAAGGACAGATACCTAATTGGATTTGGTATGGGTCACTTAGTCAAGTGAATCTTTCTTTCAATACACTTGATGATTTTCAGAAGCCTTACGAATTTCCTCCTTATCTCATGGTCCTAGACTTGCATTCCAACCAGCTTCAGGGTGAGTTACCAATCCACCCACCTTTGGCATTTATCTATGTGGACTTTTCTTTCAACTATTTCAACAACTCTATCCCAAATGAAATTGGCAATATCATTCGTCGTGCAATCTTCTTTTCTGTTTCGAATAACAAACTCATTGGAGAGATTCCTACATCCATCTGCAATGCATCTTATCTTCAAGTTCTTGATTTGTCTGGTAATGCATTGAGCGGTAGTATTCCATCTTGTCTACCAAACAAGAATTTGGATTTGGGAGTCTTGAGTCTGGCTAGAAACAACCTCAGTGGCGACATCCCCGACACGTTTCCAAACAAATGCAGCCTCAGAACATTAGACCTCGAGAATAATGTTTTGACAGGGAAGATTCCAGGATCTCTCGTCAATTGCTCGTTTCTAGAAGTTTTGAACATTGGAAACAATAGGATTGAAGACACATTTCCATGCATGCTGACGAAGATGGAACTGCGTGTCCTGATTCTACGATCCAATGGATTCCACGGAGAGCTCCTATGTTCTTCTGCACCCACACAAGAGTGGCCGAATCTTCAAATAATCGACATATCTCACAACAACTTCGGCGGTGATCTCTCTGTGTTGAATTTCTCTTATTGGAAGGGAATGATAAGTGTCGATAATAATAATAATGACCAAATTCGTTTCTATTTCTTCGACTTCAATGAGTTACACTATCAAGATAAGAGGACAACTCCCACTCACACGTATAATCTGCCTGACACGGCCAAGATTTTTCGTTTGTTTCCATATACGTTCATGCAATCCTCCAGTTTGTTAATGTAATTGCAGAACTGATTCAAAAAAAAAAAATAATAATAATAAATCATTTCAAATATTCACAACTGTTTTCTTGATATACTCTTGTTCCCAAATATTCGGTGTAAATAATCAGATGCAACATCTAACTTCCTGGGTCGATTGTCTATGGATTTTATTTTGTATTGAAGTGCCAAAAAAAAAAAAGTAAATAAATCAAACACGTAGAAATTCATGGGATTAGTTCTACGGCCATGCATGCATGCATGCATACAACACTCTCCCAAAGCAGTCCACGTGTCTACACAAAACTATTTTTGCGAAACTCGAACCTTCTCAGATAATAAACCGTCTTTACATTCATATATTTATCAAGGAATAAATTCTCTGGTAAAATAAATACCATGTCAGTAATTTTGAGTGAAAAAAATAATATGTGTGTGGAAATTTTGAGTGGAAATATGTGTGTGGAAATTTTGAGTGGAATACGTGTGGGGCAATTTTGATTGAAAATGATGTCCTGTGAGCTAGTGTAATATTTGCGATTTTATAATCTGTTATTATTATAAATTAAGTGCGCAACTCTACTTTACAAAAGTTAATAGAAATTTCAAATGCGCATACCATCGTTCTAATTTCAGTGCTCCATTATTATGTGTAAACTTCTCAGAAACAGTTTGAAAAAAAAAACCTAATTAATCTTGGGTAAGGTCTATACTCTATACAATCGGAAAATAATATTTAGAAAAAGTTAAAAAACGAAGAAAAAAATTAAAAAATAAAAATACTGATGATATGGCAGTGGCATAATCGGAAGAATGGCTGACTTAAATTAGGAGGGAGTTTTTTTCTCAAATGGTGCAAAATAATTTGATTGTCTTAATTCCCATTTAAAGAAGTATTGAAGGGCATATCAAAAGAACCCATATACTATAATGCTTTTGGGTAGAAAATATGGTGCTCAGTCGTCTTGAGAGTCATTTGTCCACACTGATATATTTTATTTAATTTTGGTTCCGAGTTCAACACGGCAATTTAGAATAATATAAATGAAAAGAATGAAGATGGCTGTGGGTTTGAATGTAATGATTTATATTAGTTGTTTTTAAACTCTTATTATGGGTCTTGGTCGTGTCTCACGGAGACCGGGAGCACCGCTATTTAACCGGCCCAATTCTTCTTAACTATGCAATTCTATTTCTCCTTATTACTCGGGGAGATTTAAAAAAAACAAAACAAAACAAAAAAAAAACCATTGTGTGACATCTTTTTACATTCTCTTCGAAATGGGCATCATCTTGTTTCTCATTTTATTCTCAGTAACTAATATATCTCAAATATCTAGCCAATGCCTTGAGGATCAAAAGTCCCTGTTAGTGGGGCTGAAGAGCAACTTAATATTCTATTCCTCATCTTCAAGCAAACTGGTCAAATGGAACCGGTCCACGGATTGCTGCAGTTGGAATGGAGTAGAATGCGATGCTGCAGGTCATGTGATCAGTTTACAACTCGATGACGAGACAATCTCTGGCGGAATCGAGGATTCGGAGTATCTCTTCAAGCTAACTTACCTCGAGAGGTTAAATTTGGCATTGAACTACTTCTACGGAATTGAGATTCCTAAGAGGATTCACAATCTTACAAAGTTGACAGGCCTGAATTTGTCTGATGCTGGTTTTACAGGACAAGTTCCCTTTGAGATTTTGGGATTGAGGAAGTTGCACAGTCTTGATCTCTCCTCTCTGTATTGGGGCGATGAACCAATGAAACTCGAGAATCCAAATTTGAAGATGCTTGTTCAGAATCTTACAGGGCTGAGAGAACTTTATCTCGACTCGATTGATATTTCGGCTGAGAGGAGCGAATGGTGCCAGGTTATATCTTCCTCTTTACCTGATTTAAGAATTTTGACCTTGAGACGTTGCTATTTATCGGGGCCTATACATTCGTCGCTTGCTAGGCTTCGTTCTCTCTCAGTTCTCCGTCTTGATTTTAACGATTTGTCTTCTTCGGTTCCTAACTTTTTTGCAAACTTCTCCAAATTGACAACCCTGAGTCTACCTGATTGCTCTTTACATGGATCCTTCCCAGAAAAGATCTTTCAAATACCCTCTTTACAAAATCTTGATTTGTCATATAACAATTTGCTTAGTGGCACTTTACCTCAATTTCCTTTGAATGGATCTTTAAGGAATATTCTACTTACTACAACCAACTTTTCAGGTTCATTACCAGCTTCTATTGGAAACCTCGCGATGTTATCCACGTTGGATCTGTATAATTGCAGATTCAACGGGCCACTTCCACCCACAATAGGAAACCTTACGGAACTGGATGTTGTGGACATCTCTGATAACAACTTCACTGGTTCGATTCCTCTATTTCACTTGTCCAAGAAACTGACCTACATAGATGCTGCTAGTAATAGTCTTACGGGCTCACTTTCCTCTATGCATTTTCAAGGCCTTTCAAATCTTGCTTCTATTAGTTTAGGCAACAATTTACTTGGTGGCAGCATTCCATCTAATTTGTTTGCTCTCCCATCCTTGCAATCGCTCGACCTTTCTAACAATAAGTTTGATGGTCCGATGCAAGAGGTTTCCAACCCGTCATCCTCTCTGCTCGAAATATATTTAAGCTCCAATCATCTTGAAGGACAGATACCCAAGTTTTTCTCTCAACTTGATCGATTGACTGTACTCTCGCTTTCTTCAATTTTTTTCAACAGCACTGTGCAGCTGGAAATGTTTCCCTCCAATTTATCAAGGCTCGACTTGTCCTTCAATAATTTGTCTATTGTTTCGGATCATAGTAATTCAAGCTTGCCTCTGTTACCTCGGATCGACACTCTGGGATTAGCATCATGCAAGTTGAAAAGTTTTCCACCGCTATCCAGGGAATCAAGATTAAACGTCTTGGATCTTTCATCCAATCAGCTAAAAGGGCAGATACCTAATCGGATTTGGAAAATCGGCTACGGTTCACTTATGCAAGTGAATCTTTCTTTCAATATATTTGATGATTTTCAGAAGCCTTACGAATTTCCTCCTTATCTCAGTGTCCTAGACTTGCATTCCAACCAGCTTCAGGGCGAGTTACCAATCCCACCTTCGGGCTCTCTCTATGTGGACTTTTCTTTCAACTATTTCAGCAAACATATCCCAACTGATATTGGCAATCTCATTCCTAGTGCAATCTTCTTTTCTGTTTCGAATAACAAACTCACCGGAGAGATTCCCACATCGATCTGCAATGCATCTAATCTTCAAGTTCTTGATTTGTCTGGTAATGCACTGAATGGTAGTATTCCATCTTGTTTATCAAACAATAATTGGGATTTGGGAGTTTTGAGTCTTGCCAGAAACAACCTCAGTGGCGACATCCCCGACACGTTTCCAGACAATTGCAGCCTCAGAACATTAGACCTTGAGAATAATGTTTTGAGAGGGAAGATTCCAGGATCTCTCGTCAATTGCTCGTTTCTAGAAGTTTTGAACATTGGAAACAATAGGATTGAAGACACATTTCCATGCATGCTGACCAAGACGGGACTTCGTGTCCTGATTCTACGATCCAATAAATTCCACGGAAACCTCTTATGTTCTTCCGCACCAACACAAGAGTGGCCAAAGCTTCAAATAATCGACATATCTCACAACGACTTCGACGGTGATATCTCTGTATTGAATTTCTCTAATTGGAGGGGAATGATAAGTGCCAATAATAATAATAGTAATAATAATGACCAAATTCGTTTCTATTTCTTCACCTTCAATGAGTTACACTATCAAGATGCAGTGGCAGTAACCATCAAGGGACTGGAAATGGAACTAACGAAAATCTTGACAATCTTCACATCCATAGATTTCTCGAGTAATAAGTTTCATGGAGAAATACCAGATTCGATCGGAGATCTCAAATCTCTGTATCTTCTTAACTTATCTCATAATGCAATCATGGGTTCTATCCCTGCATCAATAGGGAACTTGAAACAGCTCGGTTCACTGGACCTGTCATCGAACAATCTAACGGGGAATATTCCAGTTGAGCTTGCTAGCCTCGGTTTCATCTCATTCTTGAACCTGTCTTTTAATGAACTGTTTGGCAAGATTTCAAAAGGCCCTCAATTGCAGACATTCACAGCAGCTTCCTATGAAGGAAATGCCGGTCTCTGTGGCTTTCCGGTTACTGAAAGTTGCAGTGATGGTGATGTAAGTGGTGCTTCAGTACTGCCAGAATATCGAAACGAGTCCGAGAAAGAGATCGGTTGGGGCTATGTATCGGCTGCACTTGGTTTTGCAGTGGGCTTAGCAAGCTTTCTTTGGCTACTCTTACACTGCAAGAGTTGGGGAGATGTATATTTTGAGAAAGTAGACCTAATTCTTGAAACACTTTTCCCCCACAAACATGGTACAAGAAATCACCGACGAAGAGTAATCAGAAATCGTGGCTAGTGCGGATCACGCTTTTCGTTTGCAATCATCGATTTCTTTTTCTTTTTCTTTTTTTAATGAAATGTATTTGTATTATCAATAAGAAAAATATTGGCTATGTTTGGAACCCTTTTGGGGTATGTTTTTAAAAAAAAATCTGGAAAAGAGGTTCTTGGAGAAGAATTTGAAAATAAAATAATGTTTGTGTATAGGAGTTAAATCATTGTTAAATTAAAGTAGAATAATGATTAACTTATGATTATTTAAATGATTAAATGGTTTTTTAGTATTGTATTACATAATGAATGGTATTTATAAAAATATATATTCTTTTGAAACAATAATAATGATCATGCACTATTATCATTATATGTTATTTTTACAGTATTGTGAATATTCTTTAATTTATAATTGCAACATGAATAATAATCATAATTTAAACATTAATAGTAAATATGGCCCACGTAATAATGAAAATCGAAAAATAATA